AATAATTAATAAACAAGCAACATGTACAGATAATTAAATATTAAAACTATGAGCATATACATTTTGCTGCAAAAAATTAATTGCTTATGTTCAACTTTTTTATCATGTTTAACGGCTTTGGAATCAAGTTCTTTTGAGCCCAACTTTAACAAGTACATAATTTTAATGTTTCCATTCTAGATTAAGCTGATGACCCGCTTCATTTTAAAGGACAATCGTCGTTATATAGATAGATAGATAGAAAGCTTTATTTTTCCAATTTTTACATTATTTACAATACTGTCCTGCAAAACTCCTGTCGGGGTTTGTCTGCAGACACATAGTACTCTCTTATCTACATACTAAATAGGAACATATTTATATATATTTATTTATTTTGCGAGAAATGTAAATGTATAGTATTCTAACATTGTAATATACATGTAGCCTTCCTCTTAAATCAATCTATATATTGCTAAAAACTGCATTATAATCCGTTGCGTAATTTAAAAGATTTAAGCGAGCATGCAGCGTCGCTAACTTCATTTTACACTATGCGAAGATATAAAAAAATATTAAATAGTTTCGGACTTTATCCCGGATATATAACAAAACAATTGCGTCATGATTTTACGTGTTTTATATATGTATATAAGGATTGTAATAAAATGAATGCAAGTATCATTATATTGACGTGTGTGTCTTTAGATAATAATTTATAATGCTTATAAAACGTGACCTATCACCCACGGGAACCGGCCACCGATAGTGAGGGATCGAATAGGAAAAATGCTTGTCAAAGTAGTGACGCCCCGATAACTGCTCTCACAACTTGCGGATTCTGAGGGTCCTTATGATGATAATGAAATGGTGCACTTGCCTGCGGTAATGGTATATGCTGGCGGGGCACCAGTGGAGGATGATAAGATGAGTATGAGCTTAGATAACTTAGCCGATCGTGGTAAATTCACCATGAATTTATCACAATGGTTTCCAGGGAACTATGTGGAGGTCAACCCAACAATGGTACATTGCGTTCACATTAGTAATAAATACATAAATAATACATAGAAAACACAGAGGTCGATACAAACATTCATCATCATGAATACAAATCTTTACACTGTGCGAGGAATCGAACCCGCGACCATCGGAAAGACGGTGTGCTAAACCACTAGACCACCGAGATCGCCAAACTTTTATTCAGAAGAGCAACACGCAAGTTTTTCTCCTGAGTCTGCGTTCTGAATGAGTGGTAGAATAAAAAAATATGACTATTCAAAAGTGCTTATATTTGAATAAAGAATGTTTATTTACATAGTAAAAATTTACATACTTAAAGCAATGCAACACTGGCAACATTTAGTACATAGAAGTTTAACAACTCTTACACGAGTCGTAGAACTGCCGGTGGCTACAATGTTTGTTTCGAACTATGTAGCAGTTATCGATGTGGCCGGACATTGTCCTCATGTATGTAAACATTGACCGGTGCAAGTCATAAGCTGTTTAATATAATAGAGCAATTAGTATGCAAGTAAATTGCGTCGAATTCGAAAGTGATAATCTGTGTTTAGAGATAAGAGCTACACATACAAGATATATCTTATTATTAATAATATAAACGCGAAAGTTTGTGAGTATGGATGGATGTTTGTTACTCTTTCACGTAAAAACTACAGAACCGATTTTGATGAAACTTTACAGTAATATAGCCTACATCAAAATAAGAGACAGGCTATAAATTTCACGCAAATGAAACCGCGGGCACAGCTAGTATATCATAATAGCGACCCGCCCCTGCTTCCCACAGGTGGGCTATATTTTTTTTTATTTCTCCGAAGTTCTATATTTTTACATAGTATAAAACAAAGTCACTTTCGCTATCTATTCACCTAGATCTTTTAAACACTCGCGTTGATTAAAGAGAAAGATTTACATGTACACCCGTGCGGAACCGGGCGAGTATCTAGTTATATATATAGAAACTGCTGTACACATACGAAGACAATAAGTATCTGAAACCAATTGTTATATTTTGAATTATAATATCATTGTTACTGATGACTTAACTCATAACAATTAGTAATCATTGTTAGTTAGATAGATAGATACATATGTTATATCATTTATTTGATTGTTACTAATCATACACAACTACATGTTCATAAATATAGACCATACGTTGTACGACTTAAGGTTTACAATTGCAATACAAAAAGGTCGAAGCTCAGCGTGGAACATTGTTCAGAGAACAACAAATAACAACAAGATAACAAGAACAAATTGTTATGAATAATTGTACATATAAAACAAATGATATGAATGTATATTTTATATATTTACCTATAGAGGTTGTTTACACTGTTTTATCGACCTATCTGCTATTTTGTTGTCAACTTTAGAGAAATTAACTTTTATATCTATTTGACCTGACAACAGTCTATACTAATGAATGCGAAAGTATGTCTGTCTGTCGGTTCCTTAGTTTTATTTATTTATTTGATTCAGGCAACTTAATATTATTTATATAAAAACACACGGTCAGGCCACGCGTTGCTGTGGCTAAGGTTCTTGAATAAAATAATATTGCGACTATAAATTGAGATGTAAGCTATCCTATGTTTCAAGTTGGATCAAATTGCACACAATGTGCAAATCAAATTTGCAATAGGTTCAGTAGTTTAGGAGTCCAACGGGGACAAACAACGTGACACGTAATTTTTATATATAAAGATATTGGCATATATTATATGTATCTTACGGACTAACATACATACATATAAATAAAATTGGAGTATCTGTTTGTAATGTTGAAATAACCTTTTTTTTATTACATGCATATCAATATAAATACGGTACATACACTAAAATAACATTTTTTAGTATTTTTGTCTGTCTGTTTGTCTGCCTGTTTTTACACAGCATGTTAGTGTGGACCCGGGCCAGTCTTAACCCGACTATGCAAATTGCTGAATGGATTGGAATAGTATTTGACTTGTAGATAGATATTATGAGCATGGACAATGGACTGTCATTTATCTAAAAATTTAACAAATCGAAAATTAAAATGGTCTGTATTAAAATAAAATTATTTTTAAGTTGGTTTGAATAATTTTGTTAATAATTCTATTGCAATATTAGGAGATTCAGTCATGTTTATTTTACAGAAAAAGTGTATAACCGTGTTGTTTTATAAATTATATAAAGTATGATTTGTGTAATTAAAATTAAAATTTAATTAATATTCGAGATACGATTAGAAGTAACAAGTCCAAGTCATAATTCCTTTTATCCTTTTAGTTAATATAAAAAAATAACTGAACATTATCACACAATTTTTATATAAATTTCTTTCAATGTTTTTAATATATATATATATTAAAAACATTGAAAGAAATTTATATAAAAATTGTGTGCACCATTTATATATTGTTTATGGTTTTATTGTATTAGTTATTTTTATATTATATATTTATTTATTATATATATTATTATATATATTATTATATTTAGTGTTATATTGTCATTCTTACTTTATCTGCTTTCCTAATAATACATATTTAATAGACTATTTCTTCTTAAATAAACACCGTCTTTCCATAATTATATTTACAGCATAATAATAATAGTCTCTTCGTTCTTAGTATGGAGCTGCTATGTCCACTTTATGCTGCTTTTAACTAATCTAAATACACATATAAATCGAACATAAAACAACATATTGGTCTCTTACAAAGTCATCCTATGTTCAGCTGTTAGTTGACAAACAACATATTGGTCTTTTTTTACAATGTCGTCCTACGTTCAGCTTTTCGTTAACAAACATCATATTGGTCTTTTTTTACAATATCATCCTATATACGGCTGGCTGTTTATTAACAAACATCATATTGGTCTTTTTTTACAATTACATCCTATATACGGCTGGCTGTTTATTAACAAACATCATATTGGTCTTTTTTTACAATTACATCCTATATACGGCTGGCTGTTTATTAACAAACAATATATTGGTCTTTTTTTACAATGTCATCCTACGTTCAGCTTCTCGTTGACAAACAACGTATTGATTTTTTACAATGTTATCCTATGTACGGCTTTTCGTTGACAAAATTGCATTTATTATCATTATACAATGTTAAACAGTCTCGCGGTGTTTTCCGGTCGCCGGCATCGGGCGGGTGTAGTATTACGTCTGACTATCTGTATAGTAAGTAAGTAAGTAACTTATTTACATTACAGACAGATTTATTGTCATCATGATCTACGTCTTGCTCATCCCATTTATTTGGGTTCGGCGTAATATGCTTTTCTCTTCCGAATGGAATATCCCTGTTTGAAGTCATCGCGTTATTTACTTTTTTTACCATATTACCTTCCACACGGCCTATCCATCTCTTTTTCCCCTTATAACCATCCACATTCATATGTAACAACTTCCTTAACTAGCTAACAATTACATACTTAATTATATACGACAATTAACAAAATTATTGGTATAATAATTTTACAATTATTATTATGATCATCATTATTATTGCTATAATTTTATTTGATACCTTTTCACGACTAAACCGTAGAACGGATATCAATGAAACTTTACATGAAGATAGTGTAGTGTATGTGAAGAAGATACATTAATTCCTTGTATTTGTAATAATATATGGGAACAAAGAAAAGCCGTCGTGCTACTACTCAATATAATAACGGACAAAAACAAAAACACATTTACCCACATTTGACACGCAATTCTTACACTACTTATAATTATTACAAATACATACATATATTACAGTATCTTATTGTAGTGGACAGGTATAAGGCTCTACTTCACAAAAGGGGATGAAATCGCGGGATAAAATGCTGGCAAACATCTGGTATAAAACACTTTTATTTTGAAGTACCTTTGTACGTTTAAATCTCAATAGTATATATCAGGAAGACTCTCTTATTATTTGTCTGTCTATAATATGAAGCTAGTAGAATCCTAAATTCAGAAGGGCCGTTTGTTTTTCCAGATGCTACAAGAGAAGCGGCTATGCATCCTCGCCGCGGAGCTATCAGAGCTGGACATCTTCGAGCGGCTGCTGTTCTACGCGGATTCGCAGCTGAGGTTGCTGCAGTGTTTCCAGGTCAGTGACAGACAAATACAGCATATTATATCTTCACAGAGGCGTTAGCAACTGTAGACAATTCGGTGAACGTAGAAAATATAATTAAAAAAATTATCTATCAGAAAAAAATTGGTAGTGTGAAGAATTATGTTCTAGAAAGTTAATTTATTTGTTTAATTATTTTATGTTTGTATATATGTAGCAAATATATTGAATACTAGTTGTATACGCGACTTCGTCCGCGTGGAATTTAACTTTATTTTTCTAAAACAAAAGTAGCCTAAGTTACTTCTTATTACATCAGCTACCTGCCAATAAAAGTCCCTTGTTAACTAGTCTAAGTCTAGTGACATATCACGATTTCATCGTTATGAGCCGAGCAAAAAGAAAAAAAAAAGATCTATCAATGAGTTATCAATAGGAAAAAGAAATAAATAATAATAAAATAAATTTCATTTAAGTACTATATATATAAGTCTTATACGAGAATTTTTGTTTGCTATCGTTTAAAGCTGAAAGTATAGTTATATTTTAGACCAATGTATACAAGCATCGGTAGTTCAGTGGTAGAATGCTCGCCTGCCACGCGGGCGGCCCGGGTTCGATTCCCGGCCGATGCAGACTTTTTGTCCAAATTATTTTAAAATTTTGTAATTTTGAAAATAGTTTGGTAAAAAGTTTTTCGAAATTAAATGTATTACGGTAAACAATCCGCAATGTTATCGAAAATATTTATTTATATTTTTGTATTAAAATTATAATGTTATACTTTAGTGTAATATGACATCCAACTAAGTTACATTAGTTGAATCTGTACTAATATTATAAAAGTGAGTGTGTCTGTCTGTATTTTTTTACGACTGAGCGGATATTAATGAAATTTAACTTAAAAATAGTTTTTATCATGAGTTTCATACTCGGATAGGTTTATCTCAAAAAAAATAGTCTGACCGTGGTGAAATGGGTGATGGAAATTTGTATAGACAAAGTCGGGTAACAGATAGTTATTGAAATGAAATAAAATGTTAATAAATATTTATCTTCTTTACATAGTATAAAATAAAGGCGGCGCGGCGGTGCCTTTGTCTGGTCGCTTATATCTTTTAAATTACGCAACGGATTTTAATGCAGTTTTCAGCGATAGATAGTGTGATTCAAGGAAGGTTTATATGTATAATAAATGCGTATTATAGTATAGAAAAAATACTAAGAAATCCGTGCGAAGTATATAATTGTTCTTAATAAGAAAATCTTTGTCCATTTATAGGTATTACAGATTCTTATGATATATCAAATCTACGGGTCGGTATGCTTTCAAATATCAAATTCAAATTCAAATTAAAAAAATCTTTTTTTCATCGAGTACATTTTAGCCGCTTATGAACGTAAAATTTTTACATTATAATTTTATTTTTTTCCCTACCGTCCAGTTCAGTATATATATCCAATTGAGAAGAACTAGCAAGAAACTTAATTGAATTACTTTTAAAGCCAGTTTATTTACAATGTATATTTATATAGGTGTCTATGTCTAACATTAAATGAAAATCGCTCGTCATTTAAGTTCGGTACGCTTTCGCGATGAGAAGAACTGACAAGACACAGCTCGTATTCCTTTCAAATATTGTTTACAATAATACAGATTCATTTTTAAATTCAAATGGTAAGATAAATTAGTAGAATAGAGTAACCACCGGCATGTAGTTATAATATAAATTATACATCTGTTTATTAATTTGTCTATGATGATCTTTTCCTTCTTCCTTTCGTATTTTGTTTCATTCTTTTATATAGTACATAATATCATTTACTTATAAGAGCACCGCAAGTTTTTTGTTCGTTCTTCTCGTGATGAGTCTGCGTTTCGAATGAGTATATTAAGTTTATTCGAATAAAGATAATTTCTATTCTATTCTATTATTTCAGGCGGTGATTGAACATGGTTCAAACTGGCTGTCAACGGAACTGGCTACGGCTTACCTGTCCAGATGTGAGGCGAACAAGGGCTCTCGGGACCCGCTCATACAGCTAGGATTAAGGCTAGGTGAGTTTACTAACTAAAACTAAATATGAAATGAAATATGAAACTTAATATAAATTTTTTGATGAAAATATATATATATATATATAATTCAAATTCAAAATATCTTTATTCATGTAGGTCTATTACAGACTCTTATGATATGTCAACGTATCCTTAAGTAAGTATCCCTTAGGTTAGAGTGTATATATCTGTTTCCACCACCTTAGATGCACCCGATGAAGTTCCTTAAGTAAGTAACGGGTATACAATCAAACGTAGCATGTAATTATCTTGTAAAAGTATCAAAAATGTATATATACTATATATAAAAATAAATTGTAAATTAAAACTGTAAAAAATAACAATAAAAAAAAAAGGATACATACCGGCAATCACGAATAATTCATTAATTCATAATAACACAAAGAAAAACCTTAAAAAATAAAATTTTAAAAATAGCAAAACAAAAAAAAACTAAAAAAAAGGATACATACCAAGTACCCCAATTTCATCAGTGTAAATAATCCATCTCCTAATATATAATCATCTAAAAAAAATAACAACATCGCAAATCCAATCACTCGTCTTAAAATCAAACATTTCACATACTCTGCTAAAGCGAGCGTAACCCGAAAGCGCAAACGCAGAAGCTAAGAGTTAAAAAAATATGCTCAAACAAAAAAAAAAGTAACGGGTTTTTTTTATTAGTGACTCAAAATATCGATTAAGTTATCGATTAACTTAATAAACTTATAATAAAAAGGACCCGTCACTTACTTTTGGTGCATTATATTACAATTATCTTATCTCTTATCTTATTATATTAAAATGTCCTATATATATATACATATATAGTCCTCTGAATAACGGTAACTCATGTGTAGTATTGGTTCTCCTATGACGCTTATCAATTACGATCCGGCGTGGCGTCAGATTATGTTCAATTTTAGTTACATAAAAAAAAAAATTTGACTTCGTCTATGTGATTTACAGGAGGTTTCCTGAACGAGGCGGGGTGGTACGCGGACGCGCAACGTGTGCTGCTGCAATGCCGCGAACTGTGCCAGGCTCAGCCACAGACCACATATTACAAACGGCTCACACTCGAGTGTTGCCATAGGTATGTATATTCTTATTCTTCTTACACGACTCCCTCAGCCGGCTGCTGGGAAGCAGCCGGCTTCCGGCCGGCCGGAAGGCCGGCCGGCCGGTAAACGAACGACGCTGGGGTGGTATACCCCAGCAGTATGCCCGGGTAAAGAGCGTAAGCTCGGGGCCCGTACCCAGCAGTCCATATAAAGGATCAGCGGACGACCCGATAATAATAATAGTCATTCACGTCTCTCCATCGTGGAAACACGTCATTCGCGGCATGGCGGCGTACAAAGTCGACCCGGCGAGCGACCATAATCCCCACAATGCTCGACCACTCCCTCAGCTGCCTACATGACTGTAGTCGACTTCACCACTGAGGTGAAAAGGAACGACGCTGGGGTGGTCCACCCCAGCAGTATGCCCGGGTAATAAGCATAATAATATGCTCGAGCCCCGTACCCTGCGGCCCATTTTAAGGGCCTACAAGGAAGACTAAAAGCATTTAATCGTTAGCTCTTGGAAGAGTGGTTGGCTTTTGTGATGGTATCCCTTCGTGGTACTCCTTGATAACAGAGATGTTGTATTGTTCTGATTACACACTTAATTTTTTATGTAATGTGCAGTGAAACGGAATTATTTTTAGTAGCTATATCCCGGTACTATAGATTTTTACCAAATTTCATTATATATAAATATATTTATGAATGACCTTTGGTTGGGTGATACTGATCTAAACTATCTATGTACCAAATTGCATTTAAACCGTCAATTAGTATCATAGTCCAGTAAAATTTTAAATTAAACCATGATCTTGTGGGGTCGGTAGTAATAATAATGTAAATAAAATAGATCCTCAACAAATGATAAAATGTATATTAAGGAAGATTATAGAAATCGATACTAGAAAATATTATTAGAATTATGTGGCGAGTGACGGATGACATAAGAATATTTTTATATGTGAAATGTGGATCGTGTCATACCCGCTTACCCGCTAAAATCTGTCAGCCTTTTCAAGCATGCCTTTTTTCAAAATAACTAGATAATGGTAAAAAATATAAAAAAATGTTTTAGATAAAAGTTGTAGAGAATAAAATTCTACGCAAAACAGGTCCTCTTCATTTTTTCATTATCTGCTTTTGTTTGCCACAAAAATTAGGCGTGAATGCGCGACAGATAGAATTAATTCCCGCATTTATAATATTACTAACGGTAATAATTTATTTGGTGCATGGTCAGGTTACTAAACACACAGTCGGCGTACTGCTGCTTTCCTGCCGCCGCGGAGACGTACGCGCTCTCGCTGCGGCTTTTAGGGCTCCAGCCGCACTCCCGTGGCGAGTCGCTCCGGGGCGCGCTCGCAGTCGGGGACACTTGCGACAAGGCGCTCCAAACAGACTGTGACGATTCGCACCGGTCAGTAACACACTCAAATCTTGCTGAGTTTTTTTATGGATGATAATGGAATGATACTCCCGCCTGCGCTAACGGCTTACGCTGGCGGGGCACCAGTGGAGGATGATAAAATGAGCATGAGATCAGGTCAGTTAGCCCATCGTGACAGATTCGCCAAGAATTTGTCACGATGGTTTCCAGGGGGAACCGCATAGAGGTCAACCTGACATGGTACATTGCTAGCAATAAGATCATCAGTCCACATTACTAACTGGCTTTTCTCCCAGTCTTGCTGAGTTAATAAACCTATTGCACCAAGCAATTATCGTGAGGGTTATAATTAATAATTTATGAAAAATTTTACATTTATTACATTTAGATAATTTAGTTAATTTTGTCGTTGTGTGTCAGTGCGGACGAGGTCGCGTGCGGGTGCGGGGCGCGGCGCGGGTGGGGGGCGGGCGCGCTGGCGGCGCGGCTGTGCAAGGAGTTCAGCGCGCTGTTCTTCGTGCGCTGCGACTACGGCGCCGCGCACGCCTGGAGCATGCGCGCACTGGCGCTGCTCGACGACTGGACGCCGCCCAAGTAATTTATTTATTCATCTATTTCGGATATCTATCCATATTATGTCAGTAAACAACTTAGAAATCGAGTTAGTAAATCTTAATAATATTATAAACGTGAAAGTTTGTGAGTATAGATGGATGTTTGTTTCTCTTTCGCGTAATAACTACGGAACTTCAAATTAAAATTTAATTTTAATTTGAATGTATATATACCTCAGAATAATATATAGGCTAAATTTCACGCGGATGAAATGAGAGTTGAGAGTATGACAGGAGTAATTTTCTTTTCTCTTTCTTTTAAAATTTTATTTTTTAGTTGATACATATTATATTTCCGAGACACGTTTAAGGATTATAAACTCACTCATCAGATTTTCAGACGAGATTAGAGTATCTATCGGTTATCGTTTGTACTACGGTTTTCGTAATGTAGTAGGCTAGTCCCCTAGTAATCTAGTGACAGACTAGGGGGCCCCAATCCATCGCGGGGCCTTGGGCGCGTGCCCAGTGTGCCCGGTGGGGAAGAGGGGCCTGAGTGTAAGGCTATTCGCGCGTGCTAGAGCGTACGTGTAACAGCCGTGCGTCCGCAGGATCACTGTGGAGGTGCTGCGCGCGTGCGGCAAGGCGTGCGTGGTGAAGCGTCGCTTCGGGCCGGCCGGGCTGCTGGTGCGGCAGGCGGTGGCGCTGGCGCGGGCGCACTTCGGGCCGCACCACCCGCGGTACGCGGCCGCGCTGCTCGACTACGGCTTCTATCTCCTCAACATCGACTCCATCACGCACAGCGTCGCCGTCTACGAGGTACGCTCGCCTGTATTTTCGTGTCGTTGCTATCCGGCTCGAAGGATCATTGTTTTTAGCTAGTTCTATTGCAATCATGCACAATGTCGCCGTTTACGAGGTACGCCTATATCGATGTCGTTGCTATCCGGCTCGAAGGACCATCAGTTTTTAGCTTATATATCCATCATTATAGATATATAGATGGCATCGTCTTATAAATAACTTTATTGCTATCCGGCTTGAAGGACTATCGTTTTTAGCCACTTCTATTGGCAATTTAGTATTTACTAGATTCACACACAGCGACGATGTCTACGCACGTACGGTGGTACACCTGTATATCCGTGGCATTTCTCTCCGTCTCGAAAGATCATCAGTTTATAACTTATATATTCGCATCATTGCTATCCAGCTTGACTTACTTAGCTAGTTCTGTTGGCAATTTAGTATTTATTAGAATCATGCACAAGGTAGACCTATAAGGACTATTGTTTTAAGGTAGCTCTGTTGGCAATTTATTATTTATTATACGAGATTGCGACTTCGTACCCATAAGTTTTTTGTTTATAAACCGATTGGATAAAACGTTAGTAAAACAACAACAACACTGGTCATGTTGTAAATTTCCGTAATCATATTGTCACAACAAGTAGTTTGACGAGTGTAAGCAATGTAATTGTAATTATTGTGGCAAACGTGACGACGTTGACGTATCCACATGTGCATTGTTCATATTGCCAATTCTCATCATCATAGTGTCAAAATAAAGAATATTGACGAGTGTGAGCAGTGTGATTATTGTGGCAACCGTGATGATGTTGACTAATGCGCGTGTGCAGGAGGCGCTGGGTACGTTGCGGCGCGTGTTCGGCCGCAGCAGCCTGCACGTGGCGACGGCGCAGGAGGACCTCGCGTACGCTCTGTACGTGCTGGAGTACTCCTCGGGGCTGTTCTACAAGGCGCGGGAACACGCCGAGCGGGCCATACGCATTATAGAGGTACAGTTATCAACTGCTATATATTACAGTGCCTGGACTGCAATCTGTGTATACGCGGGAGAAAGTTCCTATGAAACCTGTCTCAAAGGAACTTCCTCCCCCGTACACTTAGATTGTGGAATGAACTACCTGCCGAGGTTTTCTCGAGAGATTACAGCATGGGGTTTTTCAAGAAGGGTACACCCCGTTTTTACTTTACGCCCTTAAGGGGGTACCATTTTTAGAAACTTTTAATGACATATTTATTTATAAAAAATATAAGTTTTAAGCTTCTAGCATTAAAAATGTCGATACTTCCATATAACCCTTCATCTTCCCTTTAAAACCCCTTACAACCCTTTTGTCACATTAAAAAGTCCCGCCTATGTCCTTTTTCAGGGTCTAGACTATCTAGCGTAGCAAATTTCTTTTAAATCGTTCAGTATTGGCTTTTTAGTTAGTTTCGCATATATAATATTAGTATGGTTTATAAATCATGATATATGTACTTTGCTTTTTGTGAAAGTTTCTATTTCATGTTTTCAGAATCTGGTACCACCCGACCACCTGCTGCTCGCGTCCGCTAAACGGGTGAAGGCACTAATATTAGAAGAAATAGCGCTGGACACACCGGGGGGACAGGAAAACAGTGGTAATAGATAACAATTGCGCCTGCCCCGTCACATTTCACCGCATTAATTCCATCAAAGTACACTTTGTAATAAGTCTACTGTCTCTAACAGATATGCCGCTAAGCAGTTTTGTAAGCCTAGTACCACTTTGAATGAGTTATAACAGTGAAATTACGGAGTACAAAGGCATTATACAATTTGACGACCTCGATTGTCTATTGGTTTATCACACCGCATTCCGATGGTCACTCCCCTTCGATCGATCCTCCGTCAAAATCAAACGGGATCGAAATTACGATGGCCTAAGCCGAGGTTAAATTGATTTTTAAGATTAATTCTAAAATGCACTAATAATAAATGTAATACTAGATTTCGGTGGCAAATGTATAAAAAAAGCAAATTCTTAAATAACTATTTTATGACTATATTAAAATAATTAATTGATAGTAGAATAGTGCACCCGCTTGCATTGACGGTATACGCTGGCGGGGCACCAGCGGAGGATGATAAGATAAGCATGAGGTCAGGTCATCAGGTTAGCCCATCGTGACAAATTCACCAGAAACTTATAATAGATGAACTATGGTCATCAATATATTACTAAAAGTCCCCTTTCTTTTCTGACCTGATGGATTTTGTCAACAGAACCAAGTCTACTGGAGGAATCAGAGTCGCTGCACAAGGCTGCACTGGCTTTATCCATGATGGCCTTTGGAGAGAAGAATGTCCAGACTGCGAAGCACTACGGGAACCTCGGCAGACTGTACCAAAGCATGCAGAAGTTCCAGGTCAGACCACCACACGAGATAGGAGTTTTTTTTATTTATCTACATTTTATTGAGGGTTTCGCTAAGACCTGTAGCACCTGCATAGATCTATTGTGCTCGCCCTTTTTCAAAGTTCGCTACTAAGACCTGTCACTGACAAGAATTAAAGAATATTCTTAGGAGCGATGGTATTTATCTCCTCAGTACATAATGTATACTTTCCAAAGGTGAACTTAACACATTTTTTTTTATAGTCAGACGTTAAAATCTATATTTACGAAGTATGTTTTCGACACAAAACTAAACTGTTTTTCTTGCAACTATCAACCGCGGATATAGGGGGAGCAACATGGGCCCTACGGATATATAGCGACTAGTTCTGGGGGCGGCAAATTCGAACTTGGCAGATGAACACCAACTTATTATTTTTGACGCACCTTTGTCAACTTGACCACTGATAGGCGGACGTCGAGTAAATTGTTTGTGCTCAATGCATTTGCAAAAGGAAGATGTAACTCCAGCAAATACTAATTTGATAAATTATGTGGCAATATGTATATATATTGTATCATATATATAAAATTCTCGTGTCAAAATGTAAGTTACCATACTCCTCAAAAACGGCTTGACTGATTTTAATAAAATTTTATGTGCATATTCAGTAGTTCTGGGAATCTGCTATCTATTTTTATACCCTCAAGTGATAAAGGTTGTCCGCACCTAGCATTTATTTTTATTTTTTTATAATGTGGCAAAAAAATACATACAACCCTAAGTTTTCACTCTTCTGTCACCAACCCTTATTTTTTAATAGCGATTTTAATTTATATGGCAAAACAACAATTCAGCAAATGTTGGCTGGAGGCCTAGGGCGGGGGAGTGTTAGGGGCCCGGCATTTTTTTAGTATTTACCCCGCCTCGATAATAATAAAAATTCGGGGTTGGCAATAATTAGAATATTATTCCAATGAAAATTATGGTTAAGTTTAATCTAATGATTCTTATAATGTCAGGACGCGGAGGCAATGCACTTAAAAGCGATAGCGATAAAAGAAGAGTTGCTGGGCGCGGAGGACTACGAGGTAGGACTGAGTGTGGGACACCTCGCCTCGCTCTACAACTATCACATGAACATGCACGTGGCCGCTGAAAAACTGTACCTCAGATCCATAGCTATTAGTGAGTATATTAGTAATAGTAGACGGCCTCGGTGGTCTAGCGGTTTAGCACACCGCTTTACTTCCGATGGTCGCGGGTTCGATTCCTCGCGCGTTGCACTCATTTGTATTCATCAGTAAAATATATTTGTACATTTTATTCCTGGAATATTGGTGTAGAAAACACCTAGACCGATATAAATAATCATACTCATGAATACAACTGTTTGTAGCGTGCGAGGATCAAACCCGCGACCCATCGAAAGCAAGACCGTAAAAACTGAATAACGGTCGGAATTTGATAATCATTAGAGAAGCTCGTAACTCTTCCAGTAGCATTGGTCAGCTTTCCAAACTGAATATTTGTAATGATCTCACACATTAACATGTGTGAGATCACATCACAAATATTCAGTTGTTTTATAATAATATTCAAATGTTTTATATACCCGTTGTATATAAAGATGTTCTAAACCAATAGACCATAGAGGCCGTTACATAAAGCATCTATTATTTAATTAATGAATTAACAAATAAAATTAGATTACCATCAGTTTGGCCGTATGCTTGTTTGTCACCGTAGATTTGTTTGTTTTAATATATAATAAAAAAGCCCTGTGGGCTAATTATGTAACACGATATGAAATTGTTTCTGTTGAAGTTGTGATGCAATATGAAATGATTTCAATTTAAAAAATGCGATCAAGTAAGGTCGAATGACCGCAACATAAATCATTTCTATCGATAAAACACTACTATGAAGTTGCAGCGGAATATTGTTAATCCGACCAATTTAAAAAGTCAGTACAATAGATAGCTTATACCTTTAGAGGGATACATTTTAATTTATTGGGTTGTTACACTAGTTGGCTGATTTGAAACAATTTTTATTGCGTTCAAAAATTACATAATATACTGCAGCGTCCACTTGTTCTTTTATTTTAATTTTATTAATAGACATTTAATAAAATAAAATAAAGAAAGTCTATTCTATTCTAATGAAAAAATAAGGTTAATAATTTTGAATATAAAAGCATATTTTATACAAACTATTTATAATCATTAATAATATTAATCTAACCTACAAATTAAATTTTCTTTTCTGCTATAGATACCTAGGTAAGTACGTAGGTATCCATATAAATTTAAAATGATATGGGCACATCTTTTTAAATTTGTACATAATTGTAAATACTTTAAACAAATAAATTTATTTACTTTAAACAAATCACAGAGCATCATAAACGTTGCATTCCGTTCACAGAGCACCGTATTCATTAAAATAGTTTTTTAATTATATTAATATCATAATCAACCCTAATTTTATATTAAACATTTACTCTAGTTAATACAACATTCTATGTGATTTGGGACGAAAATAAAATATCGAATTGGCAACACTGATGTCGTGTTGTGAGTCGTGACAATTTTCCCATTTTAATAAATTTAAAACCTTTTCACGACTTTCTACGTAATATTTAATATAATAAAAATATATGTAATACTGAAAATTACCAAAACAAGATAAATAATGCTGCTAATGCTAATATTTTAAAGATTGTAACCAAAAGAAACACCTTCTACATTGTTTCTCATAATGTAAAAACCGTTTCAATTCCACGCTGTCATTTCGGCAAAATAGCGATTACGTGACGTTGCAACGAGGTTACTAAATCGACATTCGATAGAAATAATTTTTATCGATATGTAAAGTTGCGTTTACGTTGCAATGCTAGTTGACAGCGTCAAATGGCGTCTATATGATCGCATTATTGACAGATGACGTCATTTTCACTACGTTACATACGAAAATCGTTGCGAACGAAGTTACATAATTAGCCCACTGGTTTTCGTTTAATGATTAAATAAAACTAAATTGCGATGGTTCCAGGTCTGAAACTGTTCGGCGAGCGGTACTCCGGTCTGGAGTACGACTACCGCGGACTGGTGCACGTGTTCACCAAACTGAAGCGGCACGAGAGCGCCGCACACTACGACCGCCTCCTACAGCACTGGCACGGTATATACATAGAATAGAAATAATCTTTATTCAAATATAAATTTCCGTACCACCCGCCAGAAACTGAAATACCATCCTGATCATCTGGCTGAATGGCGGTCTTCCACAGTGCGGTTTTCTAGAAACTTTTTGCCACGCACAACCACATTGTGGAATCACCTTCCAGCAGTGGTATTTCCGAACCGATACGATATTGAAACCTTCAAGAAAAGAGCTTATTCCTTCTTAAAAGGCCGACAACGTACTTGCAATTCCCCTGGTGTTGCGGGTGCTCATGGGCGGCGGTAATCACTTACCATCAGGTTGAGCCGCATGCTCGTTTGTGCCCTGTATTATAAAAAAAAAACTTAATATCCCTTTCCACACACACACACATGCACACATGCACACACATACTCACACACACTCACACACACACACACACACACTCACACACACACACACACACACACACACACACACACACACACACACACACACACACACACACACACACACACACACACACACACACACACACACACACACACACACACACACACACATATACACACACACTTGTTACATGTAAATTATCACTACTTCATGTTTAGTCATTTTGTATTAAATCATGCGACATTGATTTCTCCTTCCATTTATTATAATGGAAGGAGAAATCACGACCTTAGTGGTCTAGCGGTCTAGCACACCGCTTTACGTCCGATGGTCGCGGGTTCGATTCCTCGCACGGCACAAACATTTGTATTCGTGAGTGTTTGTAACGGTCTGGGTGTTTTCTATATATAATATGTATGTATTTACGAAAAAAAATATCTATGTATTTGTATCAGTTGTCTAGTACCTGTAATACAAGCTTTAGCTAGCTTAACTTGGGTCTAGATGGCGCTGTGTGAATTGTCCTGAGATTATTATTATTATTAATATGCGAACCAACCCACAGTCATCAATAAATCCGTTACATTTAAAATTAATACTGAACTATTGTAAGTTTTTGCTTCACATATTAATATATGTATAGATTACTAGCTACTCGCCCTGGCTTCGCTCGGGTGTACATGTATTATATATATATATATATATATATACCTTCTTCTTGAATCACTCTATCTATTTAAAAAACCGCTTTAAGGCGACGCATCGCAAATATTGACCTCAGATACCTTAACTTTTCTCAGCAATTACAAATCATTCGGGGCTGATATTTAGGTATTTCATTTTTCAGATCTTTGACATCATATTGACAGTTCCCGTTACATCATTGATTAACTTTTGTAGCAGAGAAAAAAATCTCAAAGATTGGTCTTATAAAATATATTTTTGATTCGTATAAGAAAACGGGACTGATTTAAGACTCGAATTTTCTAATATACATTATACTAAATAGGCACATAAATAGTACCATTCAGATGTATATAATAACCAATAGTTTTTATTTTAAACAAGATAAACTGTTTTTCCGCAAAAAAATCTCTTGCTCACAAGTTGTTTTGTATGAGAGTTAGAGCAAGTCAGTCAGTCCCCGGCCCCTGCCAACGTCGGACCTGTGCTTAGCGCGGAGAGCTCGCCTCGCTATCAAATCGTAAATTATTTCGTCATACTATACTGCGTACGCTATAGTATGGTGCGGGTGACAGTTACTAATTTTACATTTAACAATTACTGTATTTAAGTTAATACAGTTAGTAATGATTTATTGTACATATTACGAATGTAATACTAAGTAATAATTTGTAAAGTAGTGACAATTAATTGTTAAAAATGATAAAAAAATTTTAGTATTAATGTAAAGAAATGGTTAAGAAAATATAAACAAATTTTACATTATTTTGATTTCGTAGTTATTTATAAATAAAAATGGGGCACTCCCATTATCTATACATATAAATAAAATTGGAGTGTTTGTTGGTAATATTGAAATAACCGTTTTTTACTACATGCATATAAATATAAATACGTTACATACACCAAAATAACATTTTTTACCAATTTTGTCTGTTTGTCTGTCTGTTTGTTCCGGCTGATCTCTGAAATGGTTGCACTGATTTTGACGGGACTTTTTTTGGCATCTTGCTAAAATAAATAGTCTTGTACGCCGTTTGGAAGGATTTTACATTATTTTATTGTAAAACTAATTTTATTTTTTATTTCTTAACTCAAGAAGTTTTGTTTTGCTTAGATGTTTTTTTATTTCGTTAGTTGCTGAAGTAACAGGTACAGGTAAATAATACTTATTTATGCAATTACCTTTCATTAGACGTTAAGAAGAATTTTAAAATGTTGATAACTGTTTATCTAGAACAGGGGTGAGCAACCTTTTTTATCAACGGGCCAATTTAAATTTTTAATATTTTGTCGGGTCGCACCTAAAGTAACACTTATTAATAATAATTTACAAAATTATATAATTACATGATAATTATAATATTTACATGATATTGAGACACAAAACCCTCAATAATGTAGGGTATCCGGCCTTTTTACCAATATGTCCCGCCAAACTGGATGGTCTGTTCGGCTATTAGGATTGGCGAAGTGACAACCCTACACCCAAAGAAAAAATCGACTGACTCATTATAACAAAGTAAAATCGTGGAGTCGTCTATGAATTTATACAAAAATTAAATATTGCTGTAACTTAATTCTTTTACTATTTCAAGTAATGTAATCATTTAGTTACCCTTTTTACAGTATTTTATTTACTTATACGAATAAATGTTATACGTACTAATACTAATAATATATAATATTGAATCCAAAATAAAGTATTTATTTCTCAATGTTACTACATATTTAGTGTAATCAAAAAATTATTGATTGTCAATAATTTCGCAAAAATATTATTTAATTAATCATTGTTGTCTGTCCGACTATATGTTGGAGTATCACATAAATATTTGTGACGTATTTTCAACTTTATTTTCCCCGATAAGTACTTTTTATCTGTAGTAAGTCTAGATAAGCACTTTTCTTTGTAGCTATGGAAAGCAAATCAAAGTAATGGTGAAATATTTGGATTCGATTATACTATACAGGCTGTCCCAGAACTCAATTTCAAGCAGTGAGAGAATATTGTAACCATCATGATCAGATCTATTCCATGCAGTTTGAAAATTAGGGGCATTAAAGAAAAACTTAGAAATTTGGTCATACTATAACCATTATTCGGTCATTGTCGTTAATTTTTATTATTTGTGTTCATTTAAACTTTGGAACCATAAAGCCAAATAACATTTCTAGAATCACAGTAAAAAATAATGACACAATTGCCCCAAGTTTTCTAGAATTAAGACTATTTGTTAAACTATATTTAAAATTTTCATAAATTGTCGAGTTTGAAAAGCCCTCTTTTAAAAAAATGTACTAAAGTGCGTTGGCAAGTGCCATTAAAAGTTCGGACATTTAATCAGGATTGTAAATGTACAATACTTGTTAGTTTCATACTAAAAAAAAAACGAGAAAAAAACCTCAAGTAACCCGATTTTTGCTAACCCATTTTATTCCGTTCAAATGTTTCTTATTCACACAAGCTTATAGTAGTAGGTTCTTAATCTTACGGCAAAATGATGAGAGAAATGGGTAGTGGACATGTTGTCGTGAGCGAGGGAGACAGATGTGCCACGCAGTGAGACGGAGATGCGTCGTTTAAACGCGCGCGAATGAAACAGATACAGTCGGCATACCAAGCAAATGGCTACGTTACCAGTCTGACACCAGTTAGTACATTTTGCTCATTCTGTTTCAGCTTCAGCTCAGCCTACTGCGCGTCTTTCCGTATTCGCTGTTGTTGGCTTCTCTTTTTGGACTTGGATTTTTGTGAATTGAACTTGTTGATTCCATACCGACAACTTTGGGTTGTCTCTTTTGGAATTGGACTTTTGTGTTGGTATCCTTGTTATTTACTTCACAAAAAATTGCGAACAAGCACCTCATTTATGAGGAATGCAGATGCAATGCAATTGCTGCCGCTAGGCTTTATCGTGAAAGATATCCAAATTTAGAGCGCTATCCAGATCACTGCTTATATGTACCGGCCGCACTCACGGAGGGCGGCCATTTCCCGAATCAAATACGGGCTGGAGGTAGAACTCGCTTTCCTTACGAGGAAGAAGTGTTGCAAAAGGTCGCAGATGACCAAAGTATTTTCGTTTGTACACAAACGAAAATACTTTTCTTCTTTTTTCTTTTTTTTTTTCTTTTTCCCGTTCTTTCTTATTGTAATAGCACAGCACATCGTATTTTACAAAGACCCGAAATGCATCCGTTTCACGTACAACGAGTTCAAACTAAAAGTTTTCCTCAATATTATCCTTATTTAAATAAACCTAAACTAGGTTAAGATTTTTCTTTATTTTACTTACTTTTGTTGCCTTTGGTAAAAGTGGCGTCATATCTGTCTCGCTCACTCATGGCAAACATGTCCACTATCCATCTCCCTTATTATTTTGCCGTAAAATTAAGATTCCTTGGTAGGTCCAAGGAAATAAATAAATAAAAAAGTGAAATAATGAAAAGTATTATATAAATTTATTAAAACGTATGTATTAATACGTGACAACTTTTTATCCTTTTCTTTTTATCGTAATAACTTTTTATCCTTTTTACGAAAAACGATGAATATGAAATTTCGCGTACTTATAGTTTATATAGAGAAGGTTTGCAGAATAGTCATTAAATTATGCATAAAAATATAAATAATCATGTTCAAACCTATAATTATTCAATAATTTCATTTGTATGAAGTTAATAGATCTTTTATGATTAGGTTGTAATTGTTCACGTCCTTTTTACATGTAATTAAAACTTAATATTTATTATAATAATTTATAAATTACTGTAAAAGTTTTACTATTTTGTGTGTGTGTCTGAAAGTGTATAGCTTTACGTACTTTACTTACATATAATGTTAAATTACTTACGCATTTTTAAAAATATACTTTCTAAAACATAAAGAAATAATGTCCACTACGCGTATCAAATAAATAAAATTAAAGTCACATACATTATTGCTAAATTTAGGTTTATTGTATCAAATATATAATATATATAGATTTTTTAATTGATATACCTATCATTCACAGAAACGTAGACTTACTGTCTCTTTTATAAAGTACCTTCGTATATTTTCACATTTCATTTAACGTAAGTAAGTTAATGTAGTATACATTAAAATATCTAGCTGTTTCAAAAAAATGTCGTTGGCAAATAAATAAACGTCGTAATTACTAATTACAATATATACGGAAAACACAAAGATTATTTTTTGGTGTTTCTTTCAAAGATAGTAATAAAAGCACTAGTTTACGTTAATTATAATCACGGAAATATGTAACTCTACCTCAATATTTCTATTTAATTCTTTACTTTAAGAATCTTTATAATTAATTCGTATCGTAGTTAGTTCCACTGTATTGTAAATTCTAAAATATCAATGTGCCTTCATAAATATAAATTATATAAACAAACAGGAAGACTCCGTAATAGTTTTGTTCAATTGGGGACCGAAGCTTCGTCTACTTGATTCACGCGTTACATTGCGACACGGATGCGTGTTCGTGATATCGTGGTACGGGGAGAGCGAGCGAGCGCTGGCGGTCGATCGGCGATACGTAAAACTATCGGGGTGCATGAGGTGCGCAGACGGCGGGGCCCAATTTTGAAGTAATAGTTTATCACGGCGTCGCCTTAATATCCGTTACGTATCTTTAAAGATTTAAGCATACATAGGGACAGACAGCAATAGCGACTTTATTTTATACTATGTACTGATTTACTAGACTTCAACAACCTGGCATAAGCTGGAATATCTGAGGCTGTATTCTCAATGGAGAGTCACCTCTCAAGAGATTTTACACGTTCAATAAATCTGTTTATACTCAGAAGACTGATTACATGATGTAAAAACAAAAAAAAGATTATTTATTAATTACCAAATACTTTTGCAGCGTTACGAGAAGAGTCTAAAGCTGAACAGCAGCCAGCGTTGGGTTCGGAGCAGGTGATGCCGCTGGCGGAGCTGCAGGCGAGACTGTTCGCACCCAACGACTGAGGAACAGCTCGCAACCTCAGGGTCCACGCTGCGCACCCCGGGCTACGTCTCCACAACCACACCCCCGCGTACCCACGGAGGTAAAGTGTATACGTGCATCACAAACTATTTAAAAGTGTAATTAGTGTGAGAAAGTGGCGTCGTATATTTTTTTTATCGTCTCTCGGAAATGTAAATCGTGTATCCATAAGGTGTTGATATCAAAAGTGGACTGTACCGATCGACAAGAGCCTAGGGTCTATATATGGGCATGATAATATGAATATTTTTGTAGAAAAAGCGGCGGGAAAAAATGGCAAGTGGTCAATGAGGCAAATGTCAAAGTAGTGAGATGTAGTTTTGATGTGATGTACAGAAATAATTCAATATTGATTATGAATATGTAATTGCAGATTGATTACAGTGAGTGTGATTTAAATAATTATAATAATGTAATTGAAATATCCCATGTAAATTAGAATTTTATTAGTAATGAAAGAATTTGAATAGCGCACAAAATAACAAATGAGACGCTAGCTGCTGGATAATGGTTAACGATATTGAAATATATAAATAATAGAAGGTGAACAGACTTTAAATATATTGGTGCATATTAAGTGTAATAATAGATATTATGTTTCCTAAATACAAACTTTTTTTTTTATATTTTAACCTTTCGAATGTACGTCGTCTGTCGCAGCGACCGAAAGAGAATATCAGAATGCGCGCCCCAGTTGTATTTTTTCAAATCTTATTTTGTTTCAAATAAGGATAAAATTGTTTAAAAAGAAGTCACTGTTTTGCGGGCACAGATCTGTGACAAGACGGTAATACGGTTTAAGACAAGTACACAGATCTGTGTCAAAACGTTCGATGGGTTAATACTACACACAAATCACAACTCAATCTCAATTTGTCAATTCCTTTGTACGGGCTAATTGGGTCATATCAGTTTTCGTATTTGTGAATTCGGCCAAAATGCGGTAATTCTAAGAATGATGCACGAGTCGTTAGTACAATTTTCTAAATAAGTAATTCTGTGGCTAAATCTTAGAAGACGAAATCTTATGTGTAATATATATATTTATAAATATAAAATTAACTTAGCTATTTCGAAATAGGATATAATGTAAATGATAATTATAATAATCTGAATTAAATATATCAAATAAAATCAAATCAAATCAAAAGGTCTATTCAGACTCTTGTGATATGATCGGAACGTTTTCGAGCTGAGAAGAACTGACAAGAAACTTAGCTCTTATTCTCTTCAAATGAGCTTGTACATATTTATAAAATTATTCATTTTATATTCAAATTTGGGAGAATTATGTGACCAGCATATGCTACTGCAATTTTGTCAAAAGAAAATAGTATAATCAGTGTCTGTAACCCGAACATATATATTACTAGATGTGCCCGCGACTTCGTCCGCGCAAATTGTCGATACTTCCAAATAACCTTTCATCTCCCCTTTCTACCTCTTACAACCCTTTTTTTAGATTAAAAAGTAGCCTATGTCCTTTCTCAGGTTCTAAACTATATGTGTACCAAATTTCATTTAAATCGGTTCAGTAGTTTTGGCGTGAAAGTAAGACAGACAGACAGACAAAGTTACTGTCGCATTTATAATATTAATAAGGATTTCTATTATTAAAAGAATTGGTCTACACTAGATTCGGTTATCATTTCGTGAATTAGGCTGTGTAAGTCTGAACATTTTATCCCAACTCTGCCATTTGTACAAAGCTTACAATTGCCAAAAAGCTTTCGATGATAGGGATAAGCTTATACTACTGTAAATATATAAATATATATACGATTGAGTTGGTTTTGATGAATTATATCAAATTTAGTTGTAGATTGTACATAGACAAGAGTTCCCTAACCGATTCTGCAGACTATTGGCCCAACCACATTGAGGAACTAGGTTCATTATTTTTTTTAATCATATCAAATTCAAATTAAAAAATCATTTATTCATATAGAACATATTAGTTGCTTATGAACGTCAAATTTTTTACGTTATATTTTAAATTTTTTCCCTACCGTCACCATGGTCGGCGTCATTTGGTCAGCCATCATGGGTTATTCGAGGAAATTTATTCTGAATAAAGATTTATTCATTCTCCTTTTCATAGTTAAGACTGTTGATCTCATATACTCCTTGATATAATATACATAAGTAATAACCCAATTTATATACCGCCATCTAGTCTCAAGCTAAGCAGAGCTTGTACTATGGGTATTAAACAACCGATATAAATACTTAAATATATTTTTTTTTGTGTAAACATACATAATATAAATATAAAGTACCCAGACCAATACAATATTCATAAATACAAATACAATATCGTGCGAGACTCGAACTTGTATATTCGATTTTTTTATACTTCTGGTGGTGTAACAGTAATGCGGTTCACTCGAGATCACATTGCTCAATATTATCAGTAAATATTAAAAAAAAAAAAAGTTTTATATCGGCACAGAACCGGTCGCTTATTTTAAATATGAAACTATTACAATGGTATTTATTATATATTCAAATCAACGCAAGAGACATACCCAAGGAAAGGACCCATGCTCTTCCCTCCGGGTGTGCCTCCCCACCCAGCTGCATCTCCCTGGACTTTGAATATTGAATGCGTTATGACCAACTCTCTTTCTGAGGCAAAAGAAAAACTGATTTACCCGCCCCCTAGGTTAGATATAACCCTGACTTGACCCTACCCTGGGTTAGAAGCTGAATGCTACCACTGAACAGCGGCTTTCATATATTATATTTTTAAATGTAGTAACGGACAGATACTCATATGGAAGTGGTTGTAACGGTGTATATTTTAGTTAGTGTTTGATGTTGGTTGTATATATAGATGTTTATGGATGCATCAGTGAAGTGTTGGCGGTAGTCTTGTGGTAATAGTTCGCGATCCGAAGCGCTCACAGTTTGGCAATCACTAGTTCGTTAGATCCCGTCTCGATTTACAGAAAGGCGGTAGTAGGTATTTTCCTTACTATTAGTATTTGTGTTCCCGATGGTTTTTTAAGCAGGAAATATCGTCTTTAACACTTTATTGACCGGGAATTTTACACCGAAACTATGTCATCTCAGCGGTTATTAAACACGATATGCCAAGTTTTTATAACATTCTATAGCGCCCTGTGTGTCATAAATTAAATATTATATATAATGTAAGGGCAATGATGAGTTAACTCGTCACCGGATAGCAAAGTGTTAGTACAATACTGTTTTAACTAAAACACTACAAACTTTAACTTGTTTTAACTTTAAATTGTACTTAAAACACTAGCTACTTGCCCCGGCTTCGCACGGGTGTACATGTATTATATATATAAACCTTCCTCTTGAATCACTGTATCTATTAAAAAAAACCGCTTCAAAATCCGTTGCGTAGTTTTAAAGATTTAAACATACATATGGACGGACAGACAACGACAGCGATTTTATTTTATTTTATATGTATGTAATGATTTCTCAAGTTAAGCAGTATTGTATTAAGGGGTTGACAAGAACATATGTTCTCGTTTTTTAGTGCAATTTTATTGATTTTAAGTGTAATATATTGTACATAATATTTTATTCAAACGAACTAGAGCGGGGTCTGCGAACTAGATCTTTTGGAACGCTCTTCGGAACTAGTTGGTTCGCAACCACACAAGACTATCTGGTGGATATATTTCATATAATTATGTTCCTTTTGTGTATATGTTCTGTATAAAACTTAGCTGTAGAGTACGTTGCTTTAGATGTATACATTAGTGTTTTAATTGTAATGTTATTATTGTTGTGCAATGAAACGTTTGGTTTGTAAATATAATATAAATTACACTCTCGCCAATTTTGCCACTGGTATATTTTGTAGCGGTAAATAGCTGCCTTTACAAACGTTGTTTCACGGACGATTTAGCGCGGGAAAGTCAGCGCGCGCTATTTAGCGCGGGAAAATCAGCGCGTTGGATTGGGCATAAAATATTCAAATGCAAAATTCGTGGGTTATTGCATTTTACTATTTTTTGTGTTCACTCTTTCGCGTGTGATTATTTCATTTTCTTTACTCCATATGTTTTACTTTCCAAAGACATGTTTAAGATTTATAAATTATCAAGAACTCTATAATTGTCTATGCTACATATTTATGGCCGCCATTTTGCAATGATGACTAATTATTACAAAAAGGACGCGGGAAATGCGCGAGCTGGCGGCGCGCGGGGTTTTTCTCATATTCTTTTACGCAGAAAAGAACGTGCATGACATACACATACATATGTATTGACTTGTATGTTCCTTTCTGCGTGAGAGCCGATTCGCGTGGAAGAGCGTACGTGTAAACGCACCTTATGAGTTAGTTTAAAGCGGAACAGTGGTGGGGAGCGCCCTGGATCGTTTCCTAGATCACCTCGTGTGTATGTTGCCTAATTGTTATCACTATTATTATTATATGTATTATAATTATTATTATTATTCTCCCTGACGTTTTGTCTACACACGTGGAGGTCTAGGGCGCTCCCTAATATGAAAATATTTCTAGATAAATTCGTATACTATGCTAAATTCGGGGAACCTTCGCATACTCGTAATTATAATATTGTTTGTGAAATATTAATAAAAAATTACAAGAAATAATGATTTGTATTATTTTTTTAAAATAACACCCTTTATTCCGAAGTTTAATGAAATAAATATGAATATTCTTAAGTTTTATTGCATTATGATGGCCTTGATAATAACGCAATAAAAATCTGTAACAGCGTGGCTTATTAGTCCAGGTATTATAATAATAATATGTTATTATTTAAGCCAACTTATCATATCATATCAATATTGGGCCATATATGTATATTCTTAAGGATACAAAATATGAATATAAAAAATATATATTGTGGTTTTAGCCATCATACTGACACACCACTCTTATATTTTCTTTATATATATACATGTCGCCGCAGCTACATTATAACCCACAAAATAAAAATAAGGAGATGAATGACGCATCTGCTGTTGATTTACCATATTGATTATCAACATTAATAGAAACTGAATCACATTCATTACATCTTAAATATAAGGACGATAGATGGAGCCACCATGCGACTAATATCAACGCATAATCGCTTCAATTAATGCCGCTAGATGGCGTCATTATCAGTCCTTTTTAATAACTTATGTTTGCTGTTTAAAATTACTAAATATAGTAAAAACTAAATTAAATATTAAAATTTATTATGAATTAAGCAATTGTTCTGTGTATTCTAAATAAATTTATCTATGTCGAGCGAATGTCGGATGTTGCGTAACGTCCGCCATTTGCGTGCGGATTTCCTTCACAATAATTAAAACTTTGATAAAATCTTGTAACCATTTTAAAAAGAAAATAAGGCGATCATCTTGATTTAAATTTAAATACCAAAAAGTTATTTTTAACAATAATGTAACGTTCATTTATTTTGCATTTAAGTTGTTAACTAAAATCAACATGAAAAACTTCCGGATTCAGTTAATAGTGTAAGTCAAATTTATTAATACTACAAGTTTGTGGCTTTATTTAATTGCTAATATTATTAGAATAACTAGACGGTAATTTAAGTAATTATGCCGCTTTGTTATTGTTTAATTATAAGCCTTAGGCAAAAATGGTATTTTACTTCCGGCACTGTGGCGATCGACACCTTCCGACTTGAGCGCGCGTACAAGTTGGAGGGAACACGATTTGACCACATGGCTGGTCTTGTGAATAAGATTCATTCTGTATTCGGTGCTCGAGCGGCTTGGAAGTAAGTTGAAAACTCTTGTTACTGTAGTAAAATCGATTTGTAATTATAATCACATTAGAAAAATATTGTGTTATAAAATAAAATGAAAGCTAGACTATAGTCATATTTAGAGATTATTATTATAATAATTAAATAATCTAATTTCGCTTGTGTTCTTTTATTATTTTCATATATGTAATGTTAAACTACTACTACTAGTAGAACCGATGATCCTGTTATAGGTCAACGGTTCTGCAGCTTTTTAAAAAGTATTCCTGCTTTCCTACACCGTTATACATATATAGCCATACTAAGTTAATAGAATAGAATTTTTTATTAACTCGTTTTTACAGTAATAACGTAAGAAGTACAAGAATAATTTACACATTAAAAAACTGAGTCAATGTAAAAATAATTAATTATAAATGACTCTGGACCATTAACACTATGCCATCTAGTAACAAGCTTGCTTGTTGTTGTTTCATGGTTGTTACCGTCGTAGCATAATAAAAAACTAAGCAGCGCTTATTTATGGGATATAAACAGTGATGTGGAGGGGGAAAGGGGATTAGTAGTAATGTGGGTCATGAACCCCATTACCAGCAATGTACCATGTCAAGTTGACCTCCACGCGGAGCCCCCTGGAAACCATCGTGATACATTTCCGGTGAATTTGTCATGATGGGCTAACAACTGACCTGACCTCATGTTCATCTTATCCTCCACTGGTGCCCCGCCAGCGTAAACCGTGAGCGCAGGCGTGTCCACCATTCCAATATCATCCACAAAAAAAAAGGTCTTACTCCTGAGTACAAATGTTTGTACTATGCGAGGAATCGAACCCGCGATCATCGGGGGGAAAGAGCATTGTTATTGATTTGGAATAATGACCTCATTGCTGAAAATGTACCATGTCAGTTTACCTCCATGCGAATCCTGGAATCCTGCGTGGTAAATTGCTGTCAATAAAAATAACATCTTAAATATATTTTAAAATTTCTTCATTTACTACTATTATACATGCATACATACATTTACTTTATACATTTACTTTGTATATGTATAAAGATATTTTTCTTTGCTAGTGAACTATTATAAATTCCGACAATAAAAAACCGATTATCATAATAATTGTTTATTCCAAATAATATTTACATTGAATAGTCATTTTTACAAAATTATAATAAGGCCCTGATCAAATTATTGTAACACTGTATCCTTACTTCTTCATAGTTATCATTACTTAAGTATAAATATATGCAATGTTTCCCATGTCCAAATAAATCTTCGAAAATAGACTAAATAAAATAAACATTTTTAATCTACGCTAAAAATATATCAATTGTTTCTCATGAAAATAACTAGATGGCGTTACAAAACAAGTTTTACGTAATGAAACGTCACAAAATATATTGTAAGGACCGTAATTTTCAAAAAATTCCTAGGGAGTAAAGCTAGTAATGCCTATAGTTGGTAAAAATTATGAGATCTTACCATGTTTGGTAAGATCCCGTTATTTTTACAAACTATATATATGAATAATGACCGCATCAAATTTGAAACAGTATAAAGCTAGTTATATCTGAATACTCTGTGATTTGCTATATATTACTCTACAATATTAAAATTGAATACCACTAAAACAAACTGTTAGAACCAAAGTTGACGGAACTACCGATTTCGTTGCTTACAAAGTATCTTTTTAGACTAACCTCCTGAAACTGATTGTTAATTCTTGATGAGTTTGCCATATTGTAATAGTTGAACTGACTTCATCCTCATATACCTACATTGATTGAATATACTTTATTTGTAATATACATTGAAGATAAAGAAATAATATATTATAGAACACGCGAGTAAATACAATAAGCCGATAAGCTATTTTTACAAATGTATTTATAAATTATATAAATTTAATGTAATTTTTCAGTTTTCTGTATAATTCCAATAAAAGTATATTCTATCTGTTCATGTATCTATAATTACAACATTCTATAATGGCAATAAAACTGACAGTCCACTCGATGGAAAATGGTAGTAACCGTCGCCTGAATACACATGTTTACCGTGCGAGGAGTCTAACCTGCGACCATCGGAAGTATGGCGGTGTGCTAAATTGTTTGGCCGGCGCGGCGAGGCCATTAATCTATACATATAAATAAAATGGGAGTGTGTGTTTGTAATATTGATATAACCGTTTTTAACTACAATCATATGAATATAAATACATACATACACCAAAAAAACATTTTTTACAATTTTTGTCTGTCTGTCTGTTTGTTTGTTCCGGTTAATCTCTGAAATGGCTGGACCTATTTTTACGGGACTTTTTTTGGCAGGTAACTGATGTAATAAGGAGTAACAAGCTGCTTTTATTTTAGAAAAATAAAGTTAAATACCACGCGGACGAAGTCACGGGAACCGCTAGTACATAAATATATCACAACTAAAATTATATCACGGCTTGCTTTGTTGGTTTACTCGTAGACAACAACGCGATAGTTCATCTCCACGCTATCCACGTAGTAACCGTTGACATATGGGCTCGGCAATATCTCGGTTAGCTGAAAATATTACAATTAGAAATAGAATAATCTCTAGACCCGCTGGTCTATATGGACCCCCAGGTCTATGACAAACTGCAAGGGGTCTACGATAGCAGTCATCTTGTTGTTTTTACTTTGTTTTTAACACTAAACTTTACTACAGTTATAAATTTACAAATAATCAGTACCAAGTAAGAATAGGGGGTCTACCCATAACCGAAAAATATGGCAAGAGGTCTACGACACAAAAAAGTTTGGCAACCTCTGCTCTAGTCCAACTTTATATAAGCACTTTTAATAGTCACTTTGATTTTACGAAATGTAATCAAAAATATTTTTTTTTTATATATATATATAATTATTTGTTCATGACTATGGATACAAGTCCTTCAGCATTATTAGGCTTTGCGCAATAATTATGATTTAACAGATGTATTTAAATTTATTTAAAGGTTATTGCAGTATATACTTTGCTATGTTATTAAAAATTTTATACCCTTTCCCTATAAGACCTATTGACTTTTACTAAATAATACTCAGAAATAGCAAGGTTATGTTTAAAGCCAGTATTAATGTTATGAATGTGGCTGTTTTATGGAAATAAGTTCAGATTCTTGCATGTTTGATACATATTATTACATAGTATAAAACAAAGTCGCTGCAGTTGTCTGTCCGTCCCTATGTATGCTTAAATCTTTAAAACTACGCAACGGATTTTGAAGCGTGTATCACAGATAACATAATATTACATACAGATACCCCATCCCATACAAGAAAATGGTTCCTTCCTAACTCGGGCTATTCTTCGGGCTATTTTATTTCGCCACCGTAGCCGCTAGATGTCGCTAGATTTGAAGCAGTTCGGATTACTAGTGGGTGCTTAGTAACAAAGCATGAAAATAGATGGCAGTCAATTCAGCTACATGACATCTGTTTTGCAAAGATATGTATATAATAGATATGTAGGTTACTGTATCGTGTACCTCATTAGGGACGATTCAAGATTCAATGTAAATGTGTAGGTATAATATCGTTAGCCGACACTCTGCAGATATGGCTTATGTGCCAATGTATATACCTATTATGTTATGGTTTATTTTACATTCCATGCCTATTTTTTTGATATGTTGTAACGCGTCTGCGCTATACGTATAGCCTGATTTTGATACGTTTATACTCGTACGTATCAAAATCGGGCTATACGTTTTTTTATTTCAATCGTTATATGTATGAGACTGATTTTAGCTACAATTAATTTACTGGTATATACCTCATGTATTCTACGATGTACCCCTCTTTTACCTAATGAGAATTCCGCTATATCTTATATTGTTGGATCGTCATAAAAATAATTAAAATAAGTTGTAAGACTTGCGCTGCGTGCGGTATTCAACGACCAACTGCCGCCGGCCTCCCGTTACCCAACCGCTACCGGGGTATCCGTTGCTTAGCAACGAGCCAACAGCGCGAGGCTACCGGCGGGTGCGCCGCTATATATATATATCTACTTAGAGGTAGTGTATTACAATATATAAATTTTGTATCACAGTGTTAGTTGCCATATTTCTCCCATGATGAAAATTGATATGTATACTTGCCAGGTCTGAGGTAGGGTTGTTATCTATTTTTTATACCCCTAAGTCATAGGGGTGGCCTACCCCGAAAAAATATTTTTTTGTATTATGGACAATTTTTTTTTTATTTATAATGTTACATTGAAAATACATACACGCCTAAATTTTCACCCGTCTTTCACCAACCCCTATTTTTAATAGCGATATTCTTAAAAATATTATAAATGCTAAAGTAACTCAGTCTGTCTATTTGTCTCGCTTTCACGCCAAACATTCTGAATTACTCGTATATCTTTCAATATCTTTAGCGGTATAAACCAGGTTATGTACTACTACTAGTATTGTTAGTGAGGGATAAAGTTGATGAACAAAAATAAAACAATATTCGTATTAAAAATATATTCATCTAATATTTTTGGCATTATTTTTAAGTTTCTTCCAAATACAAGGGGTCTGACATGGGGTGTTATGTACCTACATTAAAAGATACTTTTTGAAATGTATGAAATGTATGTACCTACATTAAAAGATAATTTTTGACATGTATGAAATGTATGTACCTACATTAAAATATAATTTTTGAAATATATGAAATGTATGAAAGAAATGTATGTATGTACCTACATTAGAAGATAATTTTTGACATTTATGAAATGTATGTACCTACATTAAAATATAATTTTTGAAATGTATGAGATGTATGAAAAAAATGTAAGTACCTACATAAAAAGTTCATTTTTGAAATGTATGAAATGTATGAAAGAAATGTATGTACCTACATTAAAAGATAATTTTTGACATGTATGAAATGTATGAAAGAAATGTATGTACCTACATTAAAAGATAATTTTTGACATGTATGAAATGTATGAAAGAAATGTATGTACCTACATTAAAATATAATTTTTGAAATGTATGAAAGTAATGTATGTACCTACATTAAAATATAATTTTTGAAATGTATGCACCGTACAATAACAATACACGTTAAACATCATACCACAGAGTCATACGCAAGTTAAAAACAAACTGCTATGATATTAATGAGAAAGGAAAATCAACTTTATGGTATTCGAATTAGGATCAATTTCTCTCTTTTTTTTAAATACTAATTTAATCTTACCAGTTGCCAGTATTCGAAGACAACTACGATTCGTACTCGATATTTTAAATTATTATGTAATCGATTTTTCAGTACAAATGCAAATAACCAACGACACTAATAATGTACTACTATATTCCGTTCTTTGAAACGGAACACTGCTATAATACAAAATAATGAAAATTTACTGTTCACAACGACTCATTAAAAGCATCATCGAATAATGCGTAATAAAATCCTGTTATCGATTATTAAAAAAAATCGATAATACATGTATTTATTTATAATATGACAACACTTCATACATAAGTATTATTGGAAATATTATTACTTGCTTGTTCGGCTATTTTTAATTTATTTAAAAAATTTTTATATGTTTAATTTACAATAATAATATATTAAGTGCTTATTATTGGAAAATATAAAAAAGACATTTAATTAGGCCGATACAAATGACGACAATGCCATCTATGAAAGCATTTTGAAAACATTGAGCCCCATATTAGCACTGATTAAAGTGTAATTAAGTACTGGAACATAACAAAATGAGTAAATATATGAAAATTACTTTTCTAAACGCATTATTTCATTTTAACATGTATATATAACTTTTTAAAAATTGATTAAACATTTTTGAAAACACAGTTTTGTTTTTTAAAACGTTTGCAAAACTATGAAGAATTCCATCGATACCAATCACGCCATCTATATGCAACTTTTAGCAATAATAATGGCTACTTCCTCATTGAGTGCCACTGCGTGTATTAATAGATGGAGTGATTCAAGAGGAATGTTTATATATATAAATACATGTATACCCGTGCGAAGCGGGGGCGAGTAGCTAGTATATATATATAAACCGCATACGAAATGTAAATCCTTTGAAGAACAATGACCAACGAAGCTGCTTGCCTGCTTTTAAAGAATAGTACAATCAAATTGCATTATCATTTTATAGTTTTCTACTTATCTTCACGCCAGAAATATGGTACTTATAGTTATCATTTTATTATGACGTTGATCTCATCTGATCATGAAGATTATGGTTTTTGTTCACACCAACAGTTTTATACATCAAAGCTAAAAAGCAAAGTACCTACAGTTAATAATAATAATATCTCAGGACAATTCACACAGCGCCATCTAGTCCCAAGCTAAGCAGAGCTTATGTTATGGGTACTAGACAACTGATATCAATACATGGATACATATTTTCATGAATACAAATGTTTGTACCGTGCAAGGAGTCGAACCCACGGCCATCGGATAGTAAAGCGGTGTGCTAAACCACTAGAACACCGAGGCTGTCAAATCGATCATTTTATTATGACGTTGATCTCATCTGATCATCAAGATTATGGTTTTTGTTCACACCAACAGGTTTATCCATCACAGCTGCTGTATTTCAATAATCTATTCAATTCTACAATAAAATGTATATTATGTTCTAGAATAATAATCGGCCTTCCGACCTATTCCCAAACCTCTCTCTCTCTCTCTGCCCAGACCAAACCATCTTCTCCCCTTGCCTCACTCTTAGGAGTTAATCGTGGCGAATTCACAGGCAGCCATCATCTTTTCCAGTGGGGACTACGTTATGTCGAGTTGAGGTTACATTGCTAGCAACGATGCCACTAAACTATGAGCCAAAACCCAACGTAATATAGATAAAAACATTATTTATTAGTTATTGATTATATCTGAAAATGATTGAAAAAATTAATAAAAATATAACATTTCATTCATTTATATATATAAATCTTTCATTGCCTGTGACATTATTAAATTAATAAATTATTGATTATAATTATTAATTTCAACGGTACTTCATATTGCAGTTATACGATAACTTATAATATAAAACTAATATTTTTTCTAATTAATCAGGATGTATATCACTATTGGTACCATTGAAATGAAGTTGCCTTTTTGTGTAAAATGCCATTGCTATAGCAAAACACATGACCTTATACACAGATTAATTAATTATCATATTTTGTGCTATGTATTAGAGCAAATAAAAACTATTAACATTATTATTATAAAATAAAGTTCATAAAATTTCAAATAGTTTCTTGTAGGAATCAAAAGGATGCGAAATAAAATATATATATAATTTATCACAGTCATATTTAATTTATATAAAAAAACATATTTACAAAACTACACTTCAGTCAATCAAATTGTCCACAAGTATTGCTTACCAACTGAAATACTTATTTAAACATAATTTAACATAACATAACAGTAAACGCTGGCAAGCCAAGTTCACATTAAGCTTAGGATATTTAACATTCAATCATTATAGAGATTATTATAACATACGCCATTTATATATCTTCCATGAATTCAAACTCAAAATATACTACAATTACACCAGAAACTGTATTTAATAGTATTAGTCCACTATTTTGAAAATATATGAATATTAAAATCTATAAACGCAATGATATTTATTTCAGAACGTTGTTAATTAGAATTTGGACTTAAATAGTAGATGAAATACGTTATATATTTTTACACAGAGATTCAACAGAAATAAAGTCCCGACCCATAATAATGGGATCAACACAAGGCAATGATGACGTTACAATAGAAACAAAGAAATTATTGAAAATTGTTTGTTCGCGTCAACATACAATATTAGCCATATCTAAATCAAGTATTATAAAGAAACAAGTATAACTGTCATTGCGTTAAAAAGGTATAACAAGACAGCACTAACTTGGAATATGCATTTAAAGAACTTTCAACAAACTATTTGGCAATAACAACAATGTACGTGCCATATGCAAATGTTTTAATGGTGCGTTCCTGCAGTGCTGTTGAAAGTTTAAGCATGTGTTCAAAGTTTGAACAAACATTTGCAGGAGGACTGTGGACTGTTAGTGATGTGGACCAATAATCTCATTGCTAGCAATGTACCATATCAGGTTGAGCTCCACGTAATCCCTCTGACAACTATCGTGATACCACCATAGGCTATAGGCTAACTGACCAGACAGCGTATACCGTTAGCACAAACGAGTGTACCATTCCATTATCATATATAAAAATGCCATTTTCATCTTATCATCCGCCTCAGGTGCCCCGCCAGCGAATATTAACATCTTTGACTCCTCGGTGGTCTAGTGATTTAGCACACCGCTTTACTATCCGATGGTCGTGGGTTCGATTCCTCGCACGGTACAAACATTTGTATTCATGAGTATGATTGTTTGTATCGGTCTGGATGTTTTCTATGTATAATATGTATTTATTTACAAAAAAAATGTATCCATGTTGTTATATATAAGTTGTCTAGTACCCATAACACAAGCTCTGCTTAGCTTGGGATTAGATGGCGCTGTGTGAATTGTCCTGAGATATTATTATTATCTATAATAAAAACTAATACATACTTGCAATATATTTACCCGTGTCGGCATTTTAAGCTTACATCAAAGTGTTAAAAACTCAAATACTTGTAGAAGTGTGTAAGTCCAGAACTGTATATTTACATTATTGCTTGAGCCAACATAATATCCAAACTATATACATCACTATTACTATTATAACATTACTATTTTGCCGTATGAATAATTTATAATTAAAAATGTACATTTATTTAAATCCAAACTAAAAAATCATTAATTCATGTAGGACATTTTAGCGGCTTATGAAAGTAATTTTTTTTTATATTACAATTTTTTCCTTACCGTCCAGTTTATAACATGAAAGAAACCGGCACGAGTTTCTTATTCATTCTTCCTAGTGAAATGTCAACAAATTAAATATGGGGCGATAGAAACACAAAAATATAAAAATTAAGTTCTTTGAACTTTATATGGCAACATTTGTCTTCAAATATTTGAAGTTTCAATTTAGTAGCAACATTTTAGATCCCAGATTTGATTGTCCCCGGCTCCCTGCGCTAGGCTTGCATGAGTGCGTCATACAACGCACATATTGTGACCAGCGATCAGTCACGCGGCCGACTGCCTGTGTTTTCTCAAGCCAGACGTCAGGGACTGGGAAAGAGAGGACTTTGCAACAGGTGGGGAACAGAAATCCAGTCAAACAGTTGGTGTGTGGATATAACATATTTATGTCGTGGGCCCATAACCTTTTTCAGAGTAATAATTACATAGAAATATTTTTATTTTAATTTGTTTCCAATACGTTGATATATAAACTTATATATTAAACATAATCAAAATACTATTGTTTGACATGGAAAATCCATTATCTAAAGACGAACTTGGCAATATATAAAAGTTTTTTTTAGTAAAACTACATATTTTAAGTTTACTAAATAATTACCATCCGCAAATTTATGTATACGTCTTCTCATTTGTCTAAATATAAAAGTCAAAAACTTTACCCCATTCTAAATATTGTTACTAATAACAATATTCGTTAATTTAGAAGCGAAATAATTAGTTCTGCCTATCTACCTGGTGTCTGGCGTGAAGATAAATAGTTTAAATTTGTAATATTATAAAGTGGATAGGACTACCCGTATAAAACATATGTCTAGTGTAATGTACAATAAAATATAAGTGTTATTCTAGAATTATTTATTATATTCAACTTTTAACTATTTTTTAATATTGCACTATACAACAGTGGCAGTGGACAGTTTATTTATTTACTAGCTACTCGCCCCGGTTTCCCCCGGGTGTACATGTATTATACATATAAACCTTCCCTTAGAAACCCCTTTGTCTTTTAAAAAAACCGCCTCAAAATCCGTTGCGTAGTTTTAAAGATTTAAGCATACATAGGGACAGACAGCGACAGAGACTTTGTTTTATACTATGTAATGATTATATTATGACTACTAAAGTTATTTTCTTTTAACTTCCTGTAGATAATGATCATTTCTTCCTTATCCCATTTATTCGTGGCCGCCGTAATATGTTTTTCTCTTCCATTCATCCCTGTTCACAGTCATCGCGTTATTTACTTCCTTTCTTACCATATCATCTTTCACACAGTCCATCCATCTCTTTTTCGGCCTTCCTCTGCCCTTATAACTTGCGGTATATATATTCAACAATAATCCCAATGTGGAATGGAATATATACTTTAATAATCATCATTTGCATGACTTATAAATAAGCACTTGCGTTGTGGAATAATTATACATAAAGACTAGGTTTTAAGATATAGTTTGCATTATTTTTTTTTACTAAGAAGCGACTTTAAATCCTGGTACTTACTTTTTAACTATATTTTTAAAAACTATATATACTAATATACATAAAAGTACACATATTTACATGAGTTTCAAAAATAATATAGCATATATACGATTTATATTTATGTGTGAGTCAGCACCCTTGGTATATTATATCACAGATGTCATCACAGATATCATCATTACTCACCATGCTTGTGGACGTTTTCGCAGGTTCGATTTCCATCGGTGCATCTTCATCTTCGTCTAATACGCAACCTGGAATGAAATAAAAAGGTATCGTGAGAATTAATATGAACTAGTGGTACACAGCTAAGCAGAAGCAAAGAGCTAGCAGAGCTTATGTTATGGTACTAGACAACTGATATGTATACATAGACACATTTTTTTTTTTGTAAATATATACATAATAGACATAGAAAAAACCTAGGCCAATACAAACAATCATACTCATAAATAAATGTTTGTACCGTGCAAGGAATTGAATCCGAGACTCGGAATTAAGGCGGTGTGCCACCTCTAGACCACCGACGCCGTCAATTTGAAATTACATTTGAAGACCTATTTGCCTATGTTTGGTCAAATTATACGTTACTCCTTTCTCAGCACTGCCATGCAACCGCTTTCTGTTCTTCCCCAATTGTTAGCTGGTAGAGAATGCCATATGGCATTAAGCTCGTCAAATTGTACAATTTTATAAGTATAATAAAAGAATAGAATAGAATAGAAAATCCTTTATTTAAATAAACTTAATTTAAGCACTATTGAATAGTTACAGTTCGGAAAGCTGTCTCGTCACAAGAAGAATGAGCAAGAAACTTGCGTGTTGCTCTTTCAAATAATCGTTGTAACTTTATATTGTTTACAAAACAAAGAACCTACCTTTGTTAGGGTATGTCATCCAGAAATTTGATTTCAAGGTATACCAGATACCGGGTGGTATCCTCAATCTCTCGTCAGCGCTGACCGACGCCGCCAGGGTCTTGGCTGCGTCCACCAGCAGAGAAGCGCGCCACGAGGAGGCATAGATCAGTCGCATCGAGGACTGAGCCGCTGTTGAACACACGATTGGGTACAGGCATTGATGCCGGCGGAGGTTGTAGAATGAGATACCTGAAACGAGAAGCAGAAATATATATCATTACATATTATAAAACAAAGTCGCTGTCGCTGTCTGTCCGTCCCTATGTATGCTTAAATCTATAAAACTACGCAACGGATTTTGAAGCATTTTTTTTATAATAGATAGAGTGATTCAAGAGGAAGGTTTACATATATAATACATGTACACCCGTGCGAGAAGCTAGTATATTTATATATAAAAATTACGTGTCACGTTGTTTGTCCGCGATGGACTCCTAAACTACTGAACCGATTCCAAATTTGATTTGCACATTGTGTGCAATTTGATCCAACTTGAAAAATAAGGATAGCTTACATCTCAATTTATAGTCGCAATATTATTTTATTCAAGAACCTTAGCCACAGCAACGCGTGGCCGTGTCTGCTAGTATATATATATATATATATTTAGTTCACGTGTTTCATTTTGGATGGCCACGGTAGTCTAGCGGTTTCATACACCCTTTGTTCTGATAGTCGCGGGTTCGATTCCTCGCACGGTACAAACATTTGTATTCATGAGTATGATTGTTTGTATCGGTCTGAGCGTTTTCTAGGTATATAATGTATGTATTTACGAAAAAAATATCTAAGTATTTATATCAAGCATCTAGTACCCATAACACAAGCTCTGCTTACCGTGGGACTAGATGGCGCTGTGTGAATTGTCCTGAGATTAGTTCTTTTCATCATTATGTACATAGTATAAAATAAAGTAGCTGTCTCTGTCTCTCCGTCCCTATGTATGCTTAAATTTTTGAAACTACGCAACGGATTTTGAGGCGGTTTTTTTTAATAGATAGAGATTCTAGAGGAAAGTTTATATATATAATACATGTACACCCGTGCGAATCCGGGGCTAGTAGCTAGTTTATTATATTTAAACCGTCAACGATTATTCTCTGCACCATTTATTAATTTGACTGTTAGAAATTTCTTTTCAATTAGACTACAAATGAAACTGCTAAGCACAGCTAATAAATAATACCAGGAAATATTAATTGGTTAAATAATCTATATATACATATATAAAAATGAATTGCTGTTCGTTAGTCTCGCTAAAACTCGAGAATGGCTCAACCGATTTGGTTAATTTTAGTATTGAAATAGTCAAGTTCAGGAAAGGTTTTGAAAGATGATAAAATATGAAGAAATTACATGGAGAGTAGAAATAACAATTTTATTTTCCCATACAAACTGTCAAATATAGTGCGTTCAGAAGCGGGGTGTCAAATAGTGTGTTCAGAATTTTATTCTGAGGCGCAACGGAGTCGCGGGGTCAGCTGTAATAGGTTATCATATCATACCTAACAAAAATATTTGTTTGTCCGAATGAAGAATAATAGATTCCAACTATAAATAAGTAACTATATCGTAGCCACTATAAATACGCACGGATACAACTCGAAACGAGTACAACATAGTTCCTTGTTTGTTTGTAAAAACCAATTAACCAGTAGTGGTCAGGTCAAGAGATAATTTGTCTATAAAAATGTCTGTTTTTCTTATGTTATCGGCGTTGCTATGCGTTGTAGCGCCCATTTTACGTTTATTTTATCACTTTCTTTGATATTAGAGTTAAGTTGTAAAACAGGAAGACGTCTCTTTAAGTCACTCATTCGAAATGGAGGGTCAAATATTTTTTTTTATAGTTTAAGGAGGTGTGCCTTTTAGGGTTAGGTTTATGACCTACTTTGTTGAGGACCTGGGAGCTTGTAATGATACAGCCGAGAGTTAAAATATAAGTGTGTTGCTACAATAGCGTAGGAGACAAACGAGCTTGCGGATCACCTGTGCAACACCACGGAAATTGCACTGCCGGCCTTGTAAGAAAAGGTCTTTTCTTGAAGTATTAACTACAATACTTAATATCCTTAAAAAAGTTCATACTCGACAGTCGCCCCTAAAAATTAATTCAGATATAGGGTGTTTTGTAGAGGTAAGTTTTTTTCGGACTACTCTAATGCTGTACTCTAATGCGGCCGCAGCTGGCCTTTACAGTTTCACCGGATGATAGGGGGCGAGTGCAGATGGCACTCCAAACCAAGGAAGGACATATACGAAATATACTGTAGCCTTCGCAAGTTCTAAACATGTTACTTGTCGGTTCCTATTTTATTATTAGTAGTAACTAGCCATCGAAAGTAATAATTGGTATATGAGAACTAGCCAAGTCAGATCTTAGGCTACAGTATATTATCCTAAGTTATAAGAAGACAGACCACTGAACTTGGCACCCATTTAGATCTCACTTCTTTTGTCGTTGAAATCAACAATCAAGGCATATATCATAATATTGAACTCGGCTATCACTTCACATTTGTTTTTGATGGGTATTTGTATTCATGACTATGATTGTTTGTATCGGTCTGGGTGTTTTCTATGTATATTATGTATGTTTAAAAAAAATTATTTTATATTAGTTGTCTAGTACCCACAAGCCTTGCTTACCGTGGGACTAAAGTTACTAGTGCTGTCTTAATTGTTCAGGATTATTTATATATTTAATTACCTTGTGGTTTCCTATTGATGTAAAACTGCAGCGTGCCCTGCCACATGTCCACCATCACGCCGACGATGGTCCCGCGACAGAAGCCCGCGCAGTCCTGGGCCGTCATGGCGTTGTGTCGGACGGCGCCCCTGTATGACAGCCCGTACGACTCGGAATCTTGTCCCAGTAAGGATGTGAATTCAAACTGCGAATTCGACACGCTGACTTTGCTGGTGCCGACGCCTACCATCTGTAATGGTGGTCATGACATTTACATCTTATCATCCTAATCTGGTACCCCGCCAGCGTAAACCGTTAGCGTGCGCGAGTGCATAATTCAATTATATATACATACTAGCTGTCCCGGAAAACGTTGTTTTGCCTTAAAATTAAAATAATAAATTTAGGGGTGGACTACCCCTAACATTTAGGGGGATGAAAAATAGATGTTGGCCGATTCTCAGACCTACTCAATACGCTCACAAAATTTCATGAGAATCGGTCAAGCCGATTCGGAGGAGTATGGGAACGAAAACTGTGACACGAGAATTTTATATATAAGATAAATAAATTGGAATGTCTGTTTGTAATACTGAAATAACCATTTTTCACTACTTGCATATGAATATAAGTATGGTACATACACCAAAATAACATTTTTATAATTTTTGTCTGTCTGTTTGTTCCGGCTAATCTCTCAAATGGCTGGATCGATTTTGACGAGACTTTTTTTGGTAGGTAGGTGATATAATAAGGAGTAACTTAGGCTACTTTTTTTTACAAAAATAAAGTTAAATTCCCCGCGGACGAAGTCGCGGGAGCAGCCAATTAGTCATAAAATAGCATAATACATTTAATTCGTGCTTGCTTCGTATTGTAATTTGTGTAATTAGTAATTAGTATTATCATTTAAAACAATGTCAGACTAAAGTCAAAGTGTAATATATAAGAGTTGATAAAATAAAAACAATGACCCACATCTACTCCATCTCCTTATTAATTATAATAATACTTAATATTAATATGGTAAATCTAATCTAACAAACCTACTTTAGCTATTGAAATGTGTCACTAAGGCATCAAGCCTTAACCTGTAATTTCACTGACTTATAATAATAATAATCTCATTACTATTAATATTATAAATACGACGGTTTGTGAGTTTGGATGGATGTTTGTTACTCGTTCACGTAAAAACTACTGAACTGATTTTAATTACTTTATAGTAATATAGGTTATACATCAGAATAAGATATAGGCTATAAATTTCACGCGGGCACAGCTAGTCATATATATGCGTCTCAAATAAGAAACTGTTACATCTGTAATTATAATAAAATTAAGATTTATTAATCTAGACAAAACGGTCTATAAACTCAGAGGGACAAAAAGTAAATATAACTTTTATTTGACTGAACACTATTTTAGTCTTCAATAATTTTTATTATAAAAGTAATAGACTAATATAACTTTTTTTATATGCCTACTAGCTGTGCCCGCGATTTCGTTCGCAAGGAATAGAGGAAGAATGAGGAATTTCCATTTCATCCCCTATTTTATTTTACCCCCTTATGGGTAATATTTGTACAAACCTTGAATGTCATATTTATAGTCAAATGCTTAAAAAATAAGAATCAAGGTTTTAGTTTTAAAAATAACGATACTTCCATAGAACATTTCATCTTCCCATTCAACACCTTAGAACCCCTTCTTCGCATTAAAAATATCCTTTCTCAGGGTCTAAACTATCTGTATACCAAATTTTATTTAAATCGGTGCCTTAGTTTTATCTCGAAAACAAGACAGAGGCAGACAGACAGACAGTTACTTTCGCATTTATAATATTAGTAAGGAGTAAAGAAGTAAGGATAATATACTTATGTTGACATCAGCAGCCATTAGTCAAATAAATATATTTTTAATGTAATTAGTTTCGTAGCTTTGCCATTTTTAAATAATAATATTCCGTCTTTTGATTGTCAAAGTTGTCTATTAATGGCAGTAGAATTTTAGTGAATTAAAACCCTTTATTTCGTAATATGCGGTTTTCTCTTATCATTATTAATTAAATTTCATTGCCACTAAGTATAAAATAATATATATAATTAAATAATTATATGTACATTTTTTTATACTTAGTGGCAATGACCAATGCTTCATTGCCACTATCTAAGTCTATAAACAAAAAAAAAACTTATACTTAATTAATTAATTATATATGCCCATATGATGGTACAGAATTAAATAATTAAATACTCACAATATCTGTGCCATAGGTCTCAGTCAGCATTTTCACCTCCCAGTAATAATGATGGTTGTGTGAGAACGGCATGTCCCCTCTCACGGCGGCTGTGCCCGAACTGTAGAACGGATGGAATGTGACTTGCTTTTGATCATCGCTGACGACCACTCGACTCGTACTTCTCTCTGCAGCCTCCTGCCACTTCCATTCACTTTCTAATATAACATTCAACAACACTATATATTGAGTCTGCTCATGACTATAGCTAGAGTAACTTAGCTGAGCTGAGTATTAAGCAAAAAAAGTTAATAATTACATAGCATAAAACAAAGTCGCTGTCGCTGTCTGTGTGTCCCTATGTATGCTTAAATCTTAAAAACTACACAAAGGATTTTGAAGCGGTTTTTTTTAAATAGATAGAGTGATTCAAGGGGAAGGTTTATATGTATAATACATGTACACCCGTGTGAAAATGGGGCGAGTAGTGGACTAATAACCCCATTGCTAACAATGTACTATACCAGGTAGACCTCCATGAAGCTCCCCTGGAAAACATCATGGTAAATTGCCATTTGCCAAGATGGCTAAATGACCTCACTACATGCTGATTTTGTCATCCTCCAGATTTAGCACAGGTGGATGGATTATTTCATTATCATAATGTGATATGGTAGTCAAATTAAACAAAATAATAGAAATCCATTAAGTAAAACTAAATGTTGCTCATAAGAATAGGCTAGAATGGTCAGTTGTTCTCTCCTCAGATATATTTTATATATACATCTATACTACATCTTCATTTTACAACTTTTGTCTGTTTGTTCCCGCTAATCTCTGAAATGGCTGGACCAATTTTGATGGGACTTTTATTGGCAGGTAGCTGACGTAATAAGGAGTAACTTAGGCTATTTTATTTTAGAAAAATAAAGTTAAATTCCATGTGGATGAAGTCGCAGGTACAGCAAGTTGACACTAAAATATTTTAAATTGCATATTGCACCAATCTCTTTTTCTATGAATAGGCTTGATAATATGCCAAGTTTCTAAAGATAAACATTAAATTAGATTTTAGACTTGGCTAGGATTATGTGTAGATACCATCTGTGAGGCATTTTAAAATGATTTCAACTCTTTTTGTATTGGGGATACCAAAGTATTAAAATAAAAGATACAATATATTTAAGTTATGTTTATTCTGAGGAAATCTATGAATAATAAATGAATATTTGGGGTTTCAACTTTAAAAATAAAATACTTAAATAAAAAAAAATTATAATAATGATACATTTTTGTTTAACATTGAGAATTCAGATTCATTTAATAAAAATCAATAACTCCAGAAAGCATTAACTCATTTTGTCTATAAGTGTAATATAATACATGAACATAAATTAGAAACCTATACGAAAAATTAAAATTCAGAACTATTGTTAGACGTTTAAACAAACAGTGATCAGCTGTTGAAATGAAGTGTCATTGAACTTCGACATCTATGGTGGACGATTGGATTGATATAGCGAAATGATTCTAACTGATATTTGCTATAATCAAATAATTACGTACCGTCATTGTCTTCACCACATGAACATACATTCAATTGTTTCCATACAAGAGGGCCACGTTTACTCCAACATTCACAATATGGTTTTGAGTGGCGCATTACTCCTAAATTTTGTTTTGATCCAGGTCTATTAAACATTTTGTCACTTATTAAAACTCTTTACGAACACAAAAGATGCATTAGCCACAAGTCTAGAACTTAGTACACAGAAATTAAATTATATCATAACGCAGAAAACAAAGTAACACGGAAAAATATAAACACAAATAAGCGTTGAGTTTAGAAAAGTATAGAATGCAACTGAAATTAGTTACAGAAGTTTCGTATTTTATATATCTGTGGTAGGTATATAATACGCAGTGTACTGTCTGAAGTTGTTTGTTTTCCATTCCCAACAAGGTTGCCAAGTTGCCAACCTAAAACATTTAATCTAGTATGAAAAAAACAGATGATAAAATTTATATATAATCTCAATTTGGCTCCATAATGTCTAGTCCAATTTTCCATGAAAACGATTCTGGCTCTTTAGAATCGTATGGTTTTGACCATAAACTTAGTAGATCACTATGGATGAAACTACAAAACATTATTGATTATTGCGAATTTGTATGTTGGCATTCCTGCCTGTTTTGATTTTCTATTCGCGCGCATACTACCCCGCCCACAAATTACAAATGGCTGTCAAGTACAGTCCAATATCAATAAATTTCTTTGAAAATTTGTAATGTGTATAAATATTTTTAAATGTAATATTTTAATTGTATAGACGGTGAAGTATAAAGAAACATTCATATATTATAATCATTAAGTTGTGTGTATTTTGTAAGTTGTAATAATAATTTTGGCGTTAATGGTGAAAATAAAAAGATTTTATAAAAAATTGAAGTTACTTAAAATAATTTGCTAGTAAGTTTTTATTTATTTATTATAAGATAAAGACACAGTATTTTTCTGTATGTTGCACTATATTATTTGTAATTTACTTGTTCTGTTTATTGGGTATAAATAATAAATATACATATGTTATAAAAAAATAGTAAATAAACTTTATATAGACTAGTTTAAATTATAACGAAATATATATACCTAATAGATATTTCAAATATTCCCTCAATTTTTTCCATAATCCAATTATCAACTATATTTATATAGTAATATTTCATGCTCTAAATATTATTAAAAAATAATATTTCTATTTTAATGAAATTGATTATTTACAAATTCTGATTTTGATATTAGTATTATGTTTTATTTTTATTATTGCTTATAAAAGTTTTTTATGTACAATTGACCGAATTCAGCATCTGCACATTTATTTGTTAGCATCTAACAAAAAACTTTCTTTGTTCTGTTTGTAGAGAATAACTAATTAGTAATGGTTTTCAACAAACATTGGACACACTAGTTGGAGGCAGTGCCCTGTGGCAAGTTTACAATTGACGGCCCAGTGTACAAGCTCCGATGCATTTCTGGATAGATAAACGCAGCCAGTGCGCCTACACCGGTCGTCACCGTGTACCATCTTCACTCTCTGCTGGTAATTAACTTTTTATTTTCTCCATAACAAGTATAGAAGTAGAAAAATCCATAATGGAAATAAGTTATATATTTAAGTATTATAGTTCTCATAATTTTAGTTTAAAAAATTGGTGTAGAATAATTTATATTTATATTATTATTACATATGTATCTTAGTTTATAAGGTATTTATGATATAGGTTATTAGTAGCCTGAAATTAATAAATAATATGTGGTCCATTGTTACCAATGAAAAATAAAATGTTTTCTCTTAGTTTTGTATTATTACTGTCTTTAAAGTATCTGTAAAGGACCAAAAATGTGTGTGTCATATGGGACACAGTTACCTAGTCTGTCTTATGTCACAATCTTCAGATGTGTTAGCAACTTCTTCATTCAAGTGGAATTTAACATTTCTTCTATTCAAAAAAAATTTAGAAATTAAACTATCCATCAGTTACTTTTTATAACAATGTGAGTAAGTTATGTCAAAACCTTTTCAGTCATTCCAGAGATTAACAAGAACAAACAGTTTGTTCGTGCTAATCTGAGATAGCAGACATTCAATACAAACTGATCTGTAGCATTTGTTTTAACGGCAGCGGCATACAGATTACCCGAATACGAATATCGGAGTTCAATGCATTCGGGCACCTAACGACTAAGCGAGTGTGTGTTACCATTCTAACGCATGTTTTGCGCAGGCGCAGGGAGGCCGCGCACGCGCGCGTGCGGCGGCGGCGCGGGCCCGGCGGGCGCGGGCCGCAAGCCCATGGCGGCGCCGGTGCATCGGTTCGCGGCCGTCGACTGCCCGCCGCGCCGCCCGCACCGCGCCCGCGCCAGGTATGTATGTCAGCACCCTAACGGATGCACTCCGCAGCCGTCGACTGCCCGCCGCGCCGCCCGCACCGCGCCCGCGCCAGGTATGTATGTCAGCACCCTAACGGATGTACTCCGCAGCCGTCGACTGCCCGCCGCGCCGCCCGCACCGCGCCCGCGCCAGGTATGTATGTCAGCACCCTAACGGATGCACTCCGCAGCCGTCGACTGCCCGCCGCGCCGCCCGCACCGCGCCCGCGCCAGGTATGTATGTCAGCACCCTAACGGATGCACTCCGCAGCCGTCGACTGCCCGCCGCGCCGCCCGCACCGCGCCCGCGCCAGGTATGTATGTCAGCACCCTAACGGATGCACTCCGCAGCCGCAGGGCGGGCGCCGGTGCACCGGTTCGCGGCCGTTGACTACCCATAGACTACGGTAACCGTTTAGGATCAGATGAGCCATATGCCTGTTTCCCACCATCGTAGTATGAAAAAAGAAACTAGCTGTCAAATATATGTATTATTCACAAAAAGAATAACTATGAGTCATAACCATTCTATTTTTCTATGCCGTCATTCTTTAGCATCTGACTAGTGCTATGGCGAGCACAAAATGCAATATTAGTAGAAACAAAGAAAACACCTTACAAAATTATATGACTATTATCAGGTTAAATACTATAGTATTTAACCTAATAATAGTCTAAAATCCTTCTTTTATCACAGGCTCCAAATAAACAAAACTATTAATAATAATTTATACAATGTAGGCCTCCACCGATGCCTCCTGTTCACACCTCGCGGCGCCAACACGATGAACCGAGCCTCTATGTAGAGATACCACCCGAGCCCCCGCAGCCGACCATCGCCAGCCTGGCGGCGGCTCGCAGCGTCACACCTGATACTCTACTGCGGACTGCGGCGCTCGGACTCCATCACTCGCCCATGATGGCTCCACATCTCAAGTTTGGGATGCTCGTCTCGTTTGCATTGGCTACTGTCTTCCTAGCTGGTGCTAAGTACTATTTTGATCGACAGGTGAGTGTTTTATTATTTTTTCCATGGTATCCATGTCCTGAATTTTACAAATGTATTTTGAAATTTGAATGTACTGTTACTTTTTCTTCCAATATGATCATTATGAAGTATAAATTTTGTTTATAGGCCATAAAAATTTTAAAGGAGTCCTTTAGTTGTTAATAGTTTAGTTTTTCATTATCCATTTTACTCATCTGCTCACTGGGAAGTGGAGAAAAGAGCTTTAAGAAGGGGGCCAGCAGGTCCCTAAATTTCTACAGGATAATGAACCCCGAGCCTTTGCTACATTATTACCGTGAGCATTATTTAGGGTAATTTGCATATCGATATATTAATTTTTTTATAATGGCGCGTTTACACTTGCGTAGATAACGCGGGAGCGCGTAGGCGCGGGCGCGGGCGGCGGCGCGAGCAGCGGCGAGGTGGGCGTGGTGTGCGCGACTGTAGCGTGCGTGTGCGGCGTCGGCTGTGCGCTGTCGCTGCGACGAGCGCGCCCCTCGCCCCCCGCGCGTCCCCCTGATCGCGTCTCCTCCACCGCGCAACGCGACCGCCCGGTGAGTATACACGCGCCCGGTCTGTACATACACATCTACCCGGTGAGTACACAGTACACACCCGCCCAGGAGTACGCACCCGCCCGATGAGTACGCACCCGCCCGATGAGTACGCACCCGCCCGATGAGTACGCACCCGCCCGGTGAGTGTACACCTGTCCGGTTAGTACACACTAAGCCTGCGTCTACTGAAGTGCGCACCCACACTCTTTATACACATGATGGTGGTGTATGTATTCACTGTCAGCTATCACTACAACATCTCGCTACACATATAACAATTGTTTAAATCACATCTCTTATGTGCTATATAGACAAAATTTATATTAATAATACCTCTGAACAATTTACACAACGCTTACTAGTCACAAAGTAAGCATAGGATATGTTATAGGTGCTAAACCACTAGACTACGGAGCCGTCAATATTTTATAAATAAAATGTAAACTTTCAGCCTCCCCCGTCGGAGCCGTCGGACGACATCTCGCTGGCGACGCTGCTGGGCCCGGAGCGCGCGGCGAGCACATCGGGCGGGGCTGATGGCGAGGCGCCGCCGCCGTACAACATCGCGGTGCTGATGCCGGCGCGCGGCTCCCCGCCGCCGCCCGCCTACAGCGCGCTCAGCTAGCTGCCGCCGCCCGCAGAGGAGTTCATCATCTAGGAGGCGCGCGGGCCGCCTCCACACGGTCAGTCGATCTCCTCCTACTCTAATGGACACTGGTAGTGATATACGTGTAACTATTTATGCCGGCGACTGTACTTCGACGAATGTATAAAATTTGGAACTACTTAGTGCTAGTTATATATCAATCGATGACAAAATATGAGTAAAAATTCAAATTAAGAACGTCTAGTTAAAGTAATATGGCGTTTATACTAACCCACCTAGAATGAAATTTAATAAAAATTCAAATTTAGAACGCCGAGTAGTATGGTCACATACGCTCGGTCAACCGACAGATCATTCCAATGCGAATCCAATATGTCCGATTGGTACATTTGATTGCTGCATCGCTCAAGTGAGCGAAGAAAATACACAATACAATGAAAAAAATGTAAATTTTAAAAACTATACACGATTTGTTGGATTTTGTCTGATAAAAGTCTTACAAGCCTTGCAAGCAACGGGGCAGATTTGTATGTATTCCAGTGACGCTTAGAACTGAACAAGTGTTGGTATATTCGGAACTCTTCCAAATTTAAATAATTGGTATGTACTATTTAAAAGAAAATTATGAGAGAAATGAATTATAAATTGTGGACCATAGCGGTATTATGTTCTTAATTTAAAATAATATTGTAATTTGGCGCCAATATATTGATTCGACATGACCGCTGTGTGCAAGCGAGATGGAAATTGGTGTACGTTATAACGGTGAATGAGATGGCAAACAACTAGTAACTCTGTACTTACTCTACGTCAATGCTCTTGTTTGGCATCTCTGCCACATAGTTTTTTACTCCACTAAGTGAAGTCAGTTGAAAGATGTAAAATAAATTAGCTTCAATTCTATATTCAAAGCGTACTCTAATCTGGTTTAAGTTTATTTGCTTATTTTAATGTACTTATAAATCGAAGCACTTAATATTATTTAAGTTTATGCAAAAATGTATTTTTTAATGATGTGCTTAAACGGGTAAGGGTGCCTGGTATGTACAGGGAATTGAATGCGTTCAGAGATCTTCCGAATTTGACTAATGAGATATTTGGTCCCAATGGTATACTTAAAAGAAAATTGTGAGAGAAACATGCAATGTAAACTTGGCCATTGTGGTACCAGTGTTGTATTCCGACTGATAAGTAATTATTATATTTTTAAATATTTAGTACTGACTTTGTCTGGTTTTTTAACTAAAAGATAATGTATTAAATAATTTCAAATTATCTTTTTTCATGTAAGTCTCTTACAGACTCTTATGATATGTCAGTTCGTAATGATTTCGAGATTGGGTACTAGACAACTGATATAAATACTCATGTATACAAATTTGTACCGTGCGAGTAATCGAACACGCGATCATGGAAGTAGAGAGACTAGACCACCGATCAGTCTCTTTTCTTTAACGCATTGCAGTACTTTTTCCATTTCTTAGTTATTTTTAAACTTTCGTGTTTAATATACATTATTTATATTATTAACCAGGTCTTAACACGAATATTTTATGGCAAATAAAGGTATTTAATACCTTTTTCATTTCTTATTTTATCTTACCATCTACTTCTTTCATTTCCTTCTCCAACACCACATTTCAAAATCTTCCAGTGTGTTCCTTTCATTTTGAGTCAATGTCCACGTTTAATAGACATATAAATCTATACACCAGATGTAAGTCTTGATATCTCGTTTCCGATAGGTCTGTGTTTTTGCGTCATCACTACTTAATTATATGTATAAAAATAATTTATCAGTCGGAATACATTTTGATGGTGATTGTATCATAAAATAAAATTTAGATATTTATGTTATAAGAAAGACTTAGATAGAATACTTCAGCAATGGTGCCGATTTTGATAAGTATGATATTAAAGAAAGTAAAAATCATACATCAACAACGAGAGGGTATTAAAATGTAACTTTTTAGAGGAGATTGAACATAGTCAACGAGAGGGAATTCTCGTTAAATGAAATTTAACTTTTTAAATTACCCGTCATGTTACCTAACTATCCAACTGTATTATGTATAAAAAAAGTACTACTTGTGCCTATACTTGTAATATTTCTGTCAACACTCGAAACCCTTCTGTTAGTACCCCTCCACATAACATAGATTTAAGTTCAGTGTAAAGTTAGTCCACATTACGACTCCGCGTCGAATGCACGCGTTACTAATAAGCCATGTAGCATATTATCAAATAAACTTACAAAAAATAGTGCAATTCGACGACATCGGTGGTCTAGCGGTCTAGCACACCGCTTTACGACCGATGGTCGCGGGTTCGATTCCTCGCACGGCACAAACATTTGTATTCATGAGTACGATTGTTTGTATCGGTCTGGGTGTTTTCTATGTATAATATGTATGTATTTACAGAAAAAAAATCTATGTATATGTATCAGTTATCTAGTACCCATAACACAAGCTTCAGCTAGCTTAACATGGGTCTAGATGGCGCTGAATGAATTGTCCTGAGATTATTATTATTAATTATTTCACCGCTATACTCGCTACCTACATTCTAGAATAAAGAAATTTCGTAGCGACGCCTCATCACATATATAACGCTACAGTGGTGAGGTTTTAACCACCGCGCTACATACTTATCAGAATTAGCACCGTTGTGTAATTTTCTTGTTATAAATTATATTATACAATCAATTTCGATACGGCCAGAGTGGAAATGTATACTGCAGGTGAACAAATAGTATCACATATCCAGAAATAGTCTTGTATATTAATTTTATATTTTTATGGTATTTTAAAGTTAGTATCGTGATGTTTGCTGTACATTGTGCGTTTATACGGTGCCGTATTTTACTAATTCTTTTAATATTAGTATATCATTCAGGACTGGAGTATGTATATGGCAGGTGTAGGCGGTCGGGACCTAGAGGTCCCGAGCACTGTGAAAAATGTATTTTAACCATAACACTCCTACTTTTATATCATTTACCACATTTAAACACACTGTACAGCACACGTCAACATGCTACCTTAATATATACGTTTCTTTATTCTTTAAAAAAACGTTGACTTATATTTAATTATGTAACTATGTTATTATACTTAACTTAATTTTTTTTAAGATGATTTTTTAAGTTAAGTTATTATTAAGAAATCCTTTTTTAGTTAATTGCACAGATTTCTAGGTTATAAGCAATTGCTGTACTATTTTCACTGAGCGTTATTTTTACAATTGATATATAAAAATTATTAATGAATTCAATGCAATTATATACTAAGTTACATAGAGAAGGATGTGTATTGTTTTTAAGATATTATCTTTGGGTCGTATATGTATCTAATAATTATAATTTTGTAAATAGGTATCAATAAGCATGGGTGTTCATTATTCAACAAATATTGTAGACAATCAATAGTTTTGTATTCGATTTAATGCAGAGGAGCATAATTTTAAAACCCCAATATATTATGACGGCATTTCACTTGGCCTATCGTTTTCGCGTAGGTGCATTGAATTACAGACAGATAACTCAAAAGTTAATCATACAGGAGTCTTTTTACCATTTAAATATGTCATATTTCTACAAGGTTGAGAAACAGTACAGTTTCTCAACCTAATCATAAGCTCTCAGACCTACACCACTGTTCTCACTCACCGTTCCAAACTTAATGTCCGCATGACGCCAGCAGTGTGCGCTAGAGACGATATAATACATCTTTCTCTTTCCCACATATACTACACTATCTATCCAGTTCGGCTATATCGTTGTTAGGGCTAGTTACAGTTGAGTAGGGCGAGATACCTATCTCTGGAACCAACCAACTGTGGAAGCATGTGAGTAATGGCGCACGCTTTCCGGGCCATATAGTTGCGGTGTATCCCTCGAGGCTAATACGCCGAGAAGGGAGGGAGGGCAACCCCTTATTTATCATTCTAGTTGCATAAATATGAAATTACAACCAAATAAATTATTATAACAAATATTTGACCTAATTCAGCGCCAACAATACGCGAACACGCTAAGCCAAGTGTAGTGTCTTTGCATTTATGTATATGTATAAAATGTTTAGTATAGGTGTATACATAGTTACGTCGTCCAGTGTATACTAGGGTATAAGGTAGCCTCGTCTGTATATAGCAGCCGAAGTATATAGATAGATTGACACTTGTACAGTCGGTAAAAAATGTTTTCTTATATGATAATAATAATTTATTATTTCTCCTCACGAATGTAGACCGCAACAAATATTAGTAATATTTTGGGTAAAACAACGCAAAAATTTACTATTATATATATCCGAAAAAGCTATGTATATGTTTGCAAACGAATTTTAATATTATAATCGTGAAAGTCAGTTTGTTTGTGGTGCCTTTAAAAATAGTAATGAAATTTCGCATAGATATTCGTAGCAATTGAGATGTATAGTGTACTATATATCACTGTCGATTGACAGAATGATAAGCGGACGAATACGGATATAAGTTAGTTTAAAATAACTGTTACAGCTACTTACAATAAACTATAAATACCTCAATAATATGTAAAATGTGAAACAATAGCAAAACCAACAAATATTTATAAATGCTATATATACATATATCAAAGTCAAAATAATTGATTAAATTTGGATATTTATCAAAGCCACTGGTGTTTCAGGCATCCATAAACTGTTTACCATCAGATGGCCCGTACGTTTTTTCGCCACCATCGTAATATAAAAAAAAAAATGTCTAAGACAAAATATTTCTTTCATTTAGATTATCTTATAAATTTTATATTTTTATCCCTACCGTCCAATCCGACTTGTTACTGCAGTTGAGAATAACTGGCAAGAAATTAAAATGATATATTTTTTTAAAGTATCTCTATTGGAACCTTACTCGTGCGCTAGTGTGACCATTATAAGCTTAAATCTTTTGTACGGCTGGTATATACAGACTGAATAACGAATATATGTTTAATATATAAATTTAAAGTGTCCAGTACAAACATTCACGTTGAATTTTTTATAGCACATGGTTCCGCCACAGAAAAGCAATCAAAACCACACATAATGATAATAATAAAACAACAGCGCACAACGCGTCCGTTCTGTTCGCGGGATGCCCGTATAATGCCTTTTTAGTCTGCGTCACTGTTCATATGCTGCCATCTTGTACCCCACTATTCACCAAAAGCCGGTAATTATAACCACGGCAATTGAAATGAACAATGCTGAATGTATGTACTGGTCATACGTATACCATGATCTCATAGATTTTAGTTTTGTATAGAACATTTATTGTATACCTACACTCGTTAAGAGACACCGTATTTTTATCTCACTCACGCTGTGTTCGCCGGAAAGGGACAGAACACGGGATAAATAATATGGCAAACGCACAATGAGATTATATCTATCACCGAACTCGTTTTGTCCATATTGTTGACTGGTCATGATTATTTTTATGTGTTTAAAAGTGCCAAATGTATGTATATAAAATTTAAGATCTGATCATATGGCATGTGATTTCATATATTTTTTTATGTTATTTCAATATATTATATTATAATAATATATATTAACTAGTGCACTGAAGTTAAACTGTTATATTTATTTCGTATACTGTGAGTGATATTATTTTTATATTTCGGGATTTTATATCTTGCAACCTGCTGTATAACCCGTATGTCAAATTGGTGATGCTATGCCATTGAATCCAATGATATTAGAAATATGAATAATTGTAATCCAATAAATTAAACTGAATGGATAATTGATAAAAAAAATGGTTATTTATCTTTAAAAAAAATTAGTACGAATTTACGATTTTATGGAAATATGTTACAAATTACCAAATAGCACAAGATTATAAGGCATGATATTTTCAGGAAATAAGTATTATTGACAACAATAATTGAAAAGATATGCATTAGACACATACGACTCGTCCGTTCCGTTCGACTGCTCGTACAATGCCATTTTTGTCCGAGTCACAGTTCATAAGCCGCCATCTTGTGCCCCACTGAGTTGTAGTTTAAGGAGTTCGAAAAACCGGAAGTGATACCATATCCGTAATCAATATTATTATTCATAAATCATGACCAGAAAACGATTATTACATATTCCCTAGTCTTTAATATAAGTATCATACTCAAGTAGCTAGTCATACATATATGTAATATCGATGTTTGTATAGTTGTGCCGCGAGGTGCGCGGCGGAGATGCTCGTCACATTTTTGTAATTGACGCTTGGTCGAAAATAAAAATATTGTAACTATACAGCGAATAGTTTTATTTCCTGACAACCAATTTTTTATTATTATTTTATACTTTGAAAGAATGAAAATATAATTATTCGATACACATCTTAATATACTATAAAAGGAAGTAGTTTCCGCTGTCTAGTCGCTTAGATTAGGGACTTTCCTAGTAGTGCTCCGTATTTTCTCCCGCAGTTTAAATTAAAAATAATGACGTTCCTTAATATCGCATTGCGTCTTCATCTGTTATTTTTAAAATATTTGTCCGACCCCATTATACAACTCATCTTTACGTCAAATTTCATTAATATACTTTCAACTGTTTAAAAATTAACATAAATACAAACACACATTGACATTTACAAAATTAATGAGTATTTTCTATTAAAACTAACATAATTTACAACAGATGAATAGGAACACAGAAAATAATAGTATTCAGTAATTAACCTTTCACCTCGAACGAGATCTGATGATTTATGCTAGCCTGGTACTTTTCATGCGTACAGTCCTTAAAATTGCCGAGAGCATTTGCGCCCCGCTATACCAGACTTCAGTGACTACAGCGCCATCTAGTTTCTAAGTGTGATAACAACGACAATATATTCATAATTAATGTGATGATTTGCGTCTAATTAATGTAAATATAAAAAGTAAGGAATTTACTTATAAATTTTATTATTTATATACGACGTTATTAATATATTACGCGACCGCCTGAATCCAAAAGAATAGTAACGCAGAAAAAAGAACAGTAATTGACTATATCGCATTAAAGGCTCACTAAAGATGTCTGCTAGCCTAGTATCCTGAAATGTGATTGGCCAACACTTGCCGAGCGGCTGGCTACGTCCCCTTGTGATTGGCTAACACCTAACGTACGGGGGTGTACGCATCGCCTTGTGATAGGCCAATACCTACCGTGCGACTGTGTGCGTCGCCTTGTGATGAATACCAGGAGCCCATAAATAACATCATCCCATTTATATACTGTATAAATAATAATACAAGGTATGTAGAAATAAAAATTGCAATATTCCAAGCTCACATATTTATATTTTCAATTTACATTAACATTAAGTACATTAGTGATAATATAAAATAAATAGTATTTATCTATTAATTTACGTAATAATTTCACTTAATTA